GCCTGCCTGCTTATTCACTGAAAGCTGACCTCATTCTAAACTTCGTGGCCGTTAGGAGGGGGCTGCCATAGCCCCTGGCTCAGAACCACCTTGCACCAGCTCACCCGCGACTGCTGATGGAGCGCTCAGCTACGCTAGTGCCACGGATATTTCTTTGTGTGACTTGCATGATGAGCTTTTCTTTCCCATTTTAAATTACAGCCAGCATTTAACAATGAGAATATTTCACATGCAAATCCAAGCCTGGGGCGCATCTGTGTGCGACCCATCCCTGTGCATCTAGGAGGCAGGTCAGATGCTTTTAGGGTCCTCCTGGGGGGGACCCCTTAGCCTCACCCTGGGCCCTGGTGCTGCCCCCCTCGTTCTCCTGGACCCTAGGACCAGCTTCACTGCTTTGGGGCACTTGTGGGCCCGACATGGTTAACTGTACATTAGGCAGGGGGAAGAAAGGTTCTTAAGAAAAACTCCTTGAGCACTGCCTGGAGCTGGTGGGGAGCCCGACACAGCACACTTGCCAACCTGCACACCTGGGCCGTGCTGGCCTTGCAATTCCCTGTCCTTTCGTCAGCTCTTGGCGGAGGGAGGTGGTGAACGTCACCACTGTGGGGTGTAGTTTGTGCTTATGTCGAAGTCCTGGCTACACATTTTCCCCCAGGACTGGGGACCGCACCCAGGTAGCAATGGGCTACCTCCCCAGCCTGTTTTAAGAGAGGGTTTCACTGTGTTGTCCTTGATATTTTCAATCCTCCTGCCTCGGCATCCTGGTTAGCTGGGAGTACAGGCATGTGGCATCGTGCCCAGCTTCCTGGGTACATTTCTAGGAATGGGGAATTACCTCGGGTGACATCTGTGCTGCAGGAGGAAATGTGTGGAAGAACTGCTGCCTGGAAGTGTTTGTCCCCACACTGCCCTTTGTTCCCAAGTGCAGGTCCTTCCTTCCTTCGAGGCCAGCTCTGTCAGCCCTTTCCTGGTGACCTTTGTCCTGTTCTGAATTCACACTGCAGCTGTAATGCCGTCACCTAGCCCAGCCTCTAGGGCCCAGACCAGTCCGTGGGGAAAGCCAGGGCTGCTGCCTGTCCTGCCCGGCCTCTTCCCTCAGAGCCAGGTCTGGTGGGCGCTGGCACACTGGGGCCCAGGGTGCTGTTGGATGTCCAGGTGGCAGGTGGGGACTGTGGGCAGCTGGGCGCACCCTCCTTGGTCCGTGGCTGGTTAGGAGCAGAGCTTGGCCTTGAGGCCAGGCTTGTCGGGCTGCATCCAGCTGCGGCTTCTTTTTCTCGTGCCTCTGTCTCCCTGTGTGTCCTGCCGGGCTACAGCTACCCTCCCCACAAGCCATGGAGGCTCATGCAGGGTGCCCAGGAGGCCAGACTGACCACATGTGCTGTGTAAACACACCCAGCGCCCAGGGACCCCAGGTGGTGGTGCCAGGGGGCCACCATGCGTCACAGCCAGACATGGTCTCCGGGGTGCAGTGGGAGCTTCTGAACAGATGTGAAGCTCTCTGCAGCCAGGCCCATCTCGGAGCCCGATATGCTCTGTGCCTAGCCCTGTGGCCACCGCTTGGCTTGGCAGTGACTGTGCAGAAGGCTCCGTCAGGGACCAGCGCCGTCTTCCCGATGCTGCGTTCCCTGCCCCGTCCTCACAGTGGGCCATGGAAGCCAGGCTCGGTGTGAAGGAGGGGATACGGGGCTGCAGGACGCGTCTGGAGACAGCAGCGGGCTGAGAAGGAGAGGGGTTGGCGTGGGTTCTCCGGGAGCTGGCTCAGGCTCCGGGTGTTACTCCCCGTGTCTTGGATGTGCTATTTCCCTTCAGTGTCGCTTTCCTGGTCAGTAAGATGAGGGCTGCGGTGTCCACCCTTTGAGGCCCCGCTGCGCCCGAGCTCGAACACCTTGCCTGGGGGCGGCCGTGCCCTCGGGCCGGGCAGCCGAGTGCAGACTAGCAAGGCAGCATGGAGGAAGCTAGGCTGCACTTGGGGCCAAACAGGCCCTGCGTGCTGGGACGCTGGGGGCATCCGTGCAGCAGAGCAGGCAGGGCCACCTCTGAGTGTGCGCCTTGCGGTTCAGCGTGTGGGCACTAGGGATGGGTAAAATGGCCCTGGAGCCGTGTCGGGCTGGGAGTGCAGGGGGCCCAGACCCCAGGGTCAGGGCTGCAGCGCCACGTGCAGAGCTGGCCCCCCACGGGTGGGTGCGGGCGTCAGCGTCGGTGATGCGGGTCTCCAGATCAGGGTGTATGCTCTGCGTGGTGACCCACAGGCAAGGCCAGGCACGGTAGTGCCCAGGAGGGGGCAGGCAGGGGCCATGCTGAAGGGCCTGGCTCGGTCCTGAAGGCTGTGGGAGATGCCACTGACACAGCCAGTGAGAGGGCGCTTCTGGGGGACAGTCCTGGGAGAGGGCGCGGGAGGGGTCACTGGGTGGAGGCGGAGCAAGGCTGGTGGGCAGAAAAGTCGTGGGTGGTGCTTGGCCACCCGGCTCTACCTCTGCATTGTGCCCCAGGCCCACAGCGCCCCACACTCCAGGGGAGACCCCTGCCCCCGCCTTGCTCTCGGGTTCTCTCGCTCCTGCCTCCCCCTTCGCTCCTGCCCGACCGCGGGAGCCCGTCTGCCCCCCGTCCTACCGCCATGGACATCTGGGAAACGCTGTCTTCAGAGCTGTGTCCCACTGGGCAGTGGGGGGGGGGCTGTGGCCGGCCAGGCTCCGTGGACTGTGCTGCCTGCTGCTGCCTGGCGTGGGGCAGTGTGTTCTTCAGGCCGGGCTGGCGCGGTGTGTGGCGCGTCCTGACACCTGAAGGTCCTCCTTCGCCTTCCCAGGCTGCCGGGCTCCGGGAGGGCGTGCGTCTGTGGCTCTGCCATGGTCATCCTGGAGTCTCTGCTCCCCTTTTCGCGTTCCAGTGTCTTTCAGCCCGTGTTGGGGTGTGGAGAGACCTGCACTGCTCCTGCCCCCAGCCTGGGAACGGCCCTGGTGATGACAGCAGGGAAGCTGGGAACCCTGAAGCTTGTCCTCAGTCGCAGGAGTGCCCTGCCTCTTGGCTTCCTGGGCTGTGCTGTGAGAAGGAGCTGTCCGGTCACCTGTGAAGTGTGCGGTGTGGTTTACTGTGCAGCGAGGCTTCCTGCCTCGTTTGTGTTCTCTGTGATAACATCAGAGGGCGAAGCAGTTGTAGGCCACGGGGTGGACTCGCCCAGAAGAGCGCAGTGGCCTCCTGTGAGCCTGGCTGCAGGCCTGGCGCTGAGACACAGATGCCTCCCGTTGGCTGCTGGTCTCGGAGGAACGATGGGCAGAGGATTGGGCGGTCGCGGGGTTTGGGTGCAGGGCCGCGACGGTGCGGGATTTTGAGGGCTGAGAGCGGGCGAGGCCTGCCAGGCTGCTAAGGAGCGAGCTGTGGGAGAGAAGCCCCGAGCGCCGTGGGGCAGGAGGCTGCCGCCGTCCTCCCCCTTTGTCCCCAGTCACCCTCGGGGGAAGCCCGGCCGGTGGTTCAGGCTGGCCTCCAGGCGCCAGAGGCCCAGCTCGCCGCCTCCTGTGGTGTTCCGACCCCGCGGGCAGCAGCTTCAAACCGACGCAGGAGGACGGCTCACGCTGCAGCAACACGCTGTCTCTGCTTGGCTCCGTGAAGATGCCGTATTTTAGCTAGATTGTAGGTTTCGTAGCCAGCCTAGGAAGCTAACCGCAAATTATAACGTCCTTTTATGTGAAAATACATTGTAAATCCCTAACTGATTTTCAGCAAAGCTTTGGGAATCTAGCCTGTTCCGAGGAGGCCTTGCTGCTTCAGTCTCCCGCCCCTCCTGCCCGGCGCATTCCTTCCGCCCCGGCCCAGTCACAGCCTGTCATCCGCCCCAGCTGCTCCCAGCTGCGCCTGTAATCACTGCATGCCTGGGCGTGCTCGGGCTCCTCCTGGTCTTGGTGTCGGGAGGGCCCGTGCTGTCACCCCAAGGGCCACCCAGGGCTGCCCTCCCTCCCCCTGCATCCGACCGCCTGTCTCGCGGAGCCTTCCCAGCATGTTCCTGCTCGGCCTGCTCCTCACACCCCGTGGCCCTGGCGGCCCAAGACCTGCCTCCTCCTATCTGCGCCATCCCAGCAGCTTCATTGCTGAGCCAAACCCGCCCCCAGGACAGATGCTGTGTCTCAGGCGGGTCACGTGGGCGGCCAGGAGCGTCAGCCCCTGCTGCCCGGGGCTGCGGGCGACGGCGAGGGAAGGCAGAGTGCCCGTGAGAGGCCAGGCAGCTGCTGGGCAGCCTTAGCTCCGGGCTGGGAAGTGAGGGGCTGAGGACGGGCCCAGTGGCAGGACCCTGCTGGCATGCGGGAGGCCCTGGGCTCAGTGCCCCCAGCACCGGATTTGGGGTTTCCAGTGAGAAGATGCCTTTACATCTTCGTTCTGTTTTAATTTTAGTTTTCATTGGCGCATGCTTGCAGTGCTTGGCGACCACACTGCCCGCGTGGAGCTGGCTCCTGCGCAGAGCGCATCTTCGTCCCTTCTCCACCCGCTCCTCCCCTCCCTCCACCGCGTGGCTCCCTCCCCATCCGAGAGCATCTGTCCCCGTTTCCTGCCGTCTGTCTTTTGTCTTGCTCTTTGTTTATACTTTGGGCTTCTCCTGTAAGGGAAGCCGTGTGGTATTTCAGCTCGTGTGTCGATTTATTCCACTTAGCGTGGTGGTCTCGAGGTGCATCCATTTTCCTACAGATGACTCAGATGCCTTCCTTGTTGATGTACACAGTGCTCACGTTTATCGTGGGGAATCTGCTCCTGTGCTCATCCGTCCTTCCTCACGGGAGAGCGGTACTCTGCCGTGTGTGAATACCACGTCTCCTCCATCTGTCCATCCGCTGGGTATCCAGGCCGCTTCTGAGAGTGGCGTTTGTGAGTTGTGCTGCTGTAAACGGGGTGTGTGGGTCACTGGAATGCCAGCTCCATGGCTCTCGCCTGGTGAGAATTTGGAAGCAGCACATTCTCGGCCTCGACGTGGTGCCCCGTGCAGATTCTGATGTGCTTACGCGGCTGTGGTCTTGCAGATGCCTGCTCGGTGCCCGTGTCCGAGATCATCGCGGTGGAGGAGACGGAGGCGCAGGGGAAGCACTACACCAGCGGCCGGTGGCAGAGAATGGAGAAGCCGTTCGCATTCACGGGTGACGCCCCCTCAACCCCGTTTTCCCGGTAGCTCCCTTTGGATGGCAGAGACGGGCACTTTCCATCACACTTTGACAGGCTCGCTGATTTGGTTACCTTTATAAAATCCTCCCAAGGCCATTTTTCTAAGATCTACTTCCAGTTAGTGTTTTTGTTTGTTGCTTGCCTTTTTTCTTAATTTTTAAAATGTGGCCTAAAGGCGCTGAGAAACAGCATGTTTTTTGTAGGCGAGAACTTGGCCAGGTGTGGTGGTGCACAGCTGTAACCCCAGCACCGTGGGAGGCTGAAGCAGGAGGGTTGCAGTTTTGAATGTAGCCTGAAAGCCACTTAGCAAGACGCTTTCTCAAAATCTGAAAACACAATAAGTTCTGGGGGTGCAGCGCAGTGTATGGTCCTGGATTCAATTCCTAGTGCTGCCAGAGAGAGAGAGAGAGGGAGAGAGAGGGAGAGAAAGGGAGAGAGAGGGAGAGAGAGGGAGAGAGAGAGAGGATCCTGTGGACCCTAGGTGCGTGGCTGTGAGTGTCCCCTGCCTGGGGTTGAGCGGTGGCCGCAGCCCTCACTGACGCACGCCTCACTTCTCTCTCTCGCTGCAGTGCACTGCGTGAAGCGTGCCCGGCACCACCGCTGGAAGTGGGCGCAGGTGACCTTCTGGAGCTCAGACGAGCAGCTGTGTCACCGGTGGCTGCAGGCGCTGCGGGAGCTGCTGGCGGGGCTGAGTATGTGCCTTCCACATCTCCAGGGCCGGGTCTGAGAACAGTCCCTTTTACTTGTTTCTGAATTTACTAAGCTGGGTGTGGTGGTGCATACCTGAAATCCCAGCACTCAGAGGCTGAGGCAGGAGGATCCCTGTAAATTCAAGGCCAGCCTGGGCTGCATAGTGAAACCTTGTCTCAAAAAACCCAAAATAAACATAATAAATAAAAATAAATGTCCTAATTAATGGATAGTGAGCTGCACAACCAGGCAGCGGGGGAGCCACTCACCCCTAGCAGTGGCCCACGGGCGGTGACGGGTCAGTGCCGGGCCAGCCTCCAGGTGTGACGCCCCTGGGAGACTCGAGTCTGTTACTTCCGGTTCATGGAGATACCCATCTGTCTGCACATGTAGTGGAGTCGGCTTGGTATCTGAAAATAGCATCTGATTCTATTATTTCAGCTTCTCTGACTTTCACCTCTGTCTCACCTGTGTTTTCACGTGCTTCTGAAGTAAAGCAGAGATGCAAGAAGCGCTCGTGTCTGTGTGGCTGGCTGAGTGCTCCCGCCGAGTGAGCACCCCGTGACAGCACCCGGCCCTGCAGGGAGGCCGCTTGCCGGAGGGCCTCGCGATCCGGCGGTCGCTCTGGATCTGGCCCTGCCCTGAGCACTGTGTGTGCGAGTCGTGCACAGCGCCCGCGTGTGGCTTAGGCTGTCACCCTCGTTGCCGTGGCCCAGGTCACGTGGACATCGCCTGGACAGCGTGCTATGGGCTGCCCCTGGCAGTGGTGCCGTGACCGTGCCAGCTCATGCGCACTCGAGCTTCTCTTGGGCGCGTGCCCGGGGCTGGAAGGGTCCGTGGCAGCCGGTACTGTGTGCGCTTGCCAGCGTGGGCCGCGTGTCCTGATCGCTGCGTCGGGTCGCCGCAGCGCTGACCTTGCAGCCGGGCTGACGGCTGAGGAGGTGGAGCATGTCCAGCGTTCACGGGCCGCTGCCTGTCTTCCTGGGGTTTCTTTCAAGTCCGTGTCCACATTATTGTCTGATTATTTCTTGCCTTAATGGTGGTAGAAACTTCCCACATTGTAGTAAAATCTTTTCACTGACCTTCTGAAGTACAGATACTGCTCCTGTCCTGTAGCTCGCATCCCTGTCCCTGTCCCTGTCCCTGTCCCGCTCCTGCTCTCTCCCTCTCTCCCCCCCTCTCTGTCTCTGCCTGTCCCTGGCCCTGTCCCTCTCTCCCCCTTTCTTCCTGTACTAGGACTTGAACCCAAGGCCGGGTGCATGCTCCTGAGCTCCATCCCCAGCACTTTGTATTTTCCATTCTGGGACAGGGTCTTGCTGAGTGGGATTTGTGACCCTCCCAGCCCAGCTCCCCTGGGAGCTGGGGTTCCAGGTGTGCGCCCGCGTGCTGGGCCTCTGTCTCTTGGGGAGCAGAATTCTTAGTAGAGTGTATCTTTTTATGCTTTAAACTGTGAGGTTGGGTCCCACTTAGGCATCCCAGGGCGCTCCAGGGTCTCAGCCGTGTGCTTGTCAGGCTGCTGCTCCCTGTCACGCTGAGCCCGAGGTCCTTCTGGAGTTGGTGTTCGTGCGCGGGACTGGGGACGCGGTCGGGGTTTGTTTTCCTTGGAGCACTCTGCCGGGAAGGACCGTCCTCCTGCTGCCGTTTGGTTTTCATTTTGCTGGGATGAGGAGGTCTAACAGAGCTCTGCCTCCCCCGGCGCTGGTGGCCTCTCCTTCGCGCTGACGCTCGGCGGTTCTTGCGGAGGGCACAGCCAAGCCAGCTGTGCGTGGTGACAGCGCGTTTCTTCTCCCTCAGCTCTTCTTTGTCTTCGTTGTTGCCCAGGTGTGGATCAGCAACGTGACCGCAGCATGCTTGTCTTAATCCTGACTCGGGCAAAGTTTCCAGCATGCTGCCATTAACCGTGTATCTTACTCCCGGGAGGCTGAGGCAGGAGCACTGCAAGCTCTGTGTTGCCAGCCAGGGAAACGTAGTACGAACAGGTCACAGAAATAAAAAGGCCAGGGATGTAGCTCAGTGGTGCAGCAATTGTCTACACACATGAACCCCTGGGTTCCATCCCTAAGACTATAGGAAAAAAATACTTTTTAGGTTTTTCTGACATATTTTAATTAGAGGTTGGGTGTGATGGTGCATGCCTATAATCCCAGTACTCAGGAGGCTGAGGCAGGAGGATTGCTATGAGTTTGAGCCCAGCCTGCTACCTAGTGAGTTCATTGTGTAGCTTAGGCCAGGCTGAACTATATAGCAAGACCCTGTCAAAAAAATAAATAAATAAACAAATTCCCTAGTGATCCTACTTTTCTGAGGGTTTTGGTGTTTTCAAGGCCTGAGTGGGTGGTGGGTTTGATGCGTACTTTTTCCTCCTCTCTGGTCTCTTGCAGGATGAGAGAGGCCAGGTGTGTTTTGAGTTAAACATGAGCGCCCAGAGAAAGCCCACTTTATGCAGCCCAGAAGTTCACCCCTGACACTGCCTTTGTGTTGGTGACATGGGACTGGGCCTTGGTGGGGGTGCCCTTGTCTGCTTTGCTTTGGGGTCACAGCGGCCTCGCACGAATCCCCGATGTCCCCCGCCCTCATCCTGGAGGAGGTGCCTGATGTTGGGCGGTTTCTCCCTTGTGGCTGGAGGAGTTCCACGTGAAGCCGCTGCAGCCTGGGCTTCTCAGCGGGAAGGTTCTGTTGGTGGCCACATGTTCCCTACTAGATACCAGGTTTTCTGTGTGTTCCGACGTGGCAGTAAATCGTGGCTTTTGAGATGTGTGTCACTGTAGATAATTTACCAGCAGGAGCCGAGGATAGCTCCTTCCATTTTCTCTCTTAATACCTGTAGATTCCACAGTGGTCTTCGTGCCTCTCCCCAAGAGGGGTAACTTGTGTTTTCTCCCTTTGTGCTGTCACTTTTATTAGGGACTTACCAATTTTATGAATGCTTTCAAAAGAGCAGATTCTTGGCCGAGCTGATTCTTCTCTTGTGCATCTCCCCAGTATTCATCCTGAGTGCTGTGAGACAGACGCGGAGAGCCTTGTGCATGGACCTGCTGTCCGTGCCTTGTTGCGGTCCAGCCATCCCTCCCTCTGTCCACTAATGGGTCACAGTTCTTGCTGCCTTTCCGAGTAAGTGAGGCCATCCCACCCTCACACGAGTCATTAGCCAGGGAGCAGTCATTAGCCGGGGGCAACGTTTTGTCCGAATCCCCAGGCTCAGCCCAGTTCAGTATCTTGGGTGCTCTCTCTGCTGGTGGCTTGTGTCGTCATCTTTCCCTGTCCCTGCTGCAGAGCCCCTGGGGACTGGCCACGTCCCACCCGTGCGTTCGCGGTCTGTGCCAGGCAAGGGTGGTCAGCCTCTGCCTGTCGGGACTGGTGCTGGTTTGGACAGGTGGCTCCAGGCTCTGGCATGGATGTGTGGTTTTAACTTTCTTGTTACTTTTGATTTGTTAAATTTGTTAAGTGGCAGAATCTACTTGGACTGAACAATATGGAAATGTGGTAGTTGTCCTGAGTAGGTGGGGGCCTCAGGAAACCCTGGCAGAGGCTTCTGGGGGTCTCCAAAGGGACAGAGGCCAAGGCCGAAGCCACATACCCTCACTCCCTCTCTCCTTCCCCCACATCCGCTTTTGCCTGGTCTGTCGCTCTCTCCCCAGCTCCTCTCTGAATGCCTGGTTCACGCCTCCCACTCCCTAAGAGCTTATCCCAGTCCCTCGAGCAGAAGGGCCCAGCCGCCCAGGCCCGCACCTCACAGGCCTGGGAGAGAGCTTTGTCCCTTCCTTCCACGTAGGCAATGTGGGAAGGCCCTGCCATCTCCTCGAAGAGGGGGAAAGTCCTCCTCATGGTGCTTCAACATTTTAGAATACTTTCCTGGAGTAGAAGGGAGCAGACTTGTGAGGCCCTCAGACGTGGATTCCGTCCAGTGCACAGGTCCGGATCTTGCATTTGTCGTACTCACTGTGGTCTCCCTAATGTGCTTGTTTGTAGCATGCAGACCGAAGAACTTGCTGGTGTTCATTAACCCCTTCGGGGGAAAGGGCCAAGGCAAACGGATATACGAGAGAAAAGTGGCACCTCTGTTCTCTCTGGCTTCCATCTCCACTGACATCATTGGTAAGGCCTCCCCAGAAGTGGGCAGGAGTAAACCTGAGAGGGAGTCAAACGCAGTCACCTGAGAGGCAGGTATGGTGACGCATGCCAGTAACTCCAGCACTCTGGAGGCTGAGGCAGGAGGATCGCCATGAGTTCCAGGCCAACCTGGGCTACATAGGGTGACCTGTCTCAAAAAACCAAACAAATATATATGAACATTTTGTATGTATTAGAGAAGATTTTTATCCTCTAGGATTTTTTTTGTTATAAGAGAGTAAAAAATTAACAAACAAAGCCCAATAACAATGATTCACAATTTCAAAACAAGATGATAGAAAATTAACAATGACTTTTTTTTTTTGGTCTTTTTGCAACAGGGTCTCACTATGCAGTTCAGGCTGGCTTTGAGCTCACTTTGTAGCCCAGGCTGGTCTTAAACTTGCAACAATCATCCTGCCTCAGCCTCCTGAGTGCTAGGATTACAAGCGTGTGCCACCATACCCAGCTCAACAGTGGTTGTTATATTGCATATTGTTAGCTTCAAAGTAATTGTTCAGATCTTCTAGGATTATTTCAAACAAAATAGAATTCTTACCTACCAGAATAGGAAAAATGCAAAATAAGTAATGCCGTCCTTCCCACTGGTAGCTAGGTCTTAGCATATAAAGTAGTGAAGCAAAACACTAAGACGATGAAAGGACAAAGATAAGGGACAGAGCGTTCTACAGTTCTTGTAAGCAGAGACTCAAGTGCCCCATCTTGAAACCGCGTCCGCCCTAGTGGCACTTTTTTTTTTTTTCGGGTACCGGGAATCGAACTCACAACCTTTGCACTTGCTAGGCAAGCGCTATGCCTCTGAGCTAAATCCCCAGCCCCCCTAATGGCGCTTTAAGAAACCTAACACGCCCTCCCTCCTGCTCACGGTGCCAGCTTGCAGGGCCGGGCAAGGCTTCGTATGACTAAAAGCCACTGGCCACGCAGGTCGAGACCCTAAGACATTCCGCCCACAGTTCTGTGTTTTCTGAATCGTTCCTAGAGACAATCACTGTCCCCAAGCCTGAGCGACACAAACGTCCCTGCCAGGCTTCGTGATGGCCCTGCACAAGGTGCCCCACGGCCCTGCGAGGGCCTCTGAAGTGTGCTGTGTGACACTGAGGAGCTTCCAGGGAGAGTGGCCGTGACGCCATGGGGTACGAGGCCTGGAATCGTGTGTGCAGAGGAGAATCAGGAGACCTTTGTTCTTTATGCCGGGTGCAGGACTTGGGGCTGGCGGTCTGCGTGCCGATGCTTTCTAAAATTGTGAGAGTGACCTGTAGAATCAGGAAACGTGTAGCACAGAAGCTGTAATTGCTTCGGAGGAAGTTACTTGTGTTGAACTAGTCTTCCCGGAACGTCTTCAGGGCCCCTGGACTCCTTGCTAAGCACCGTGTCACTCGCAGAGCTGCAGGCGTGGATGCAACAAGCTATTCAGTGTCCTTTTGTTTTCCCACAGTCACTGAGCACGCGAACCAAGCCAGGGAGACCTTGTACGAGATCAGCCTAGACAAGTACGACGGGTGAGTCAGCGCCCCTCCTCACCACCACGCGTGGTACCCTCAGCGCAGTGACGGGGCCTTTCCCGGGCAGAAAAGGCAGCGATGTCGGGTCGCAGCCCCTTCCCTACTGGGCAGCAGCTGCCTTTCCCTCTTCCTGCAAGGCTGCTCCGTGCAACCAGACCGGGCTGGGTCACGGAATGTTGAGATGCGTCGCCTTTGTGGTTGTAGGTCCTGCTTTGCTGGTAGGTTTTGAGCCGTTTGCCCGTCACCGAAGACTTCCCCAAGATACTGCTTTATGTCATGTCCTGTCATTTGCACGTCCCGCACCATCTAACTTGTTTCTTACTACTCACTGTACATGCTGAGGCCCTTTCCAATTTTTCTCTCAAAATAAGGCAGCCTGCTTGTGTATAAATCTCTCTGCGAGACCGACGCTGAAGTGAGACCCTTTCCACGCAGTGCTGGAGCTCACACTCTGCCTGTGCGCTGAGGCGCAGCCCCCCAGCTTCCTTCGTGCTCATGCTGTATCGTCTCCTGTCCGTGCCAACATTTTGGTGTTATTACTGTACAGATTCTCTGCTTAATTTTTTCTTGCATAAGCACTCTTTTCTCTGCTTAATTGAACGTGAAAATCTTTAATTTTTTAAGAAATACGTGTTTTAGTGAACTAATTTTCACTTTGAATTGATTTTTATGTTCTTGGTGCATTGTCTTCTGTTAGCCATATAAGCTAGTAATTTGTTCTTTTTTTTTTCTCTTTTTGGTACCAGGAATTGAACTCAGGGCCTTGTGCTTGCCAGGCTGGCACTGCACCGCTGAGCTACGTCCCTGACCAGTCATTTATTTTTTTATCCAACAGTAATAGGCAGTTTATAACCTGTTGTCATATTTTTTGGGAAATATTTCTTCTGGTTTTTAAACTGTCTAATTTCGCTTGTGGTGTTGTTTTTAGTTTCCAAGTTTACTTACTGCACTTAGGTCTGTCCCTCTTGCTCTTCTTTTTTGTTTGGTACCGGGAATCGAACTTAGGAGCTTGTGCTTGCCGGGCAGGCGCCGTGCCGCTGAGCTGTGTCGCCCCCCGTCCGTCTCTTTCTAAGCTCCCTGTTGTCAGCTGCTGTGTGACTGGGGGCTTTTCGGTTTCATTTCCCTGTTGAGTCTCAAGACTTGCAGGCAATGTGTTACACGCTGGAAGTGAGTTTCTAACCACCGTGATTCGTTCCATGGGCCTTGTTGGAGGTCTTCCACCCCCAGCCTGTGGGTGCCGAGGTTAGAAAGGGAATGAAGGGGCCTTTGGCCCTGCAGCGAGCTGAGGCCTCTCTCACTTCCCTGCCAAGCTCTGTAGGAGCGCTCAGCAAGCCCTGGCCTACAGAGCTCGCCCCACATCGGGAGCATCGCGTGAGCTTCAGTGTCACTGCTGGGGACTGGCTCACCCAGCCACTGCACCCTGGCCGTCGGTCTGGAGCGCCGGAGGCCGGGGCCTGGGCGTGATCCATGAGCAATGCTGAGCCCACCGCAGGTGTGGCAGGTGCCATTGTACTTTCCAGGGCCTGAGCCGCGGTCCCTGTCCTTGAAACCATGGCAGCCCCAGTAGTGGGCACACAGGACACACTGGAGAGCAGCAGGCACGCTGCCTAGGTCTAAGGGGGCACGAGCAACAGGCAGCCCTGCCCCTCCAGCCACGGCCCCCAGCCCTCCTCCTGGCAGCAGAGCCTCTGCTTCGCATGAGTGCTCTCGGGTTGCCGGGGCTCCGAGCCCATCCTCTGCCTTCCCTCCGCGACCTCCGCTCTGCCATGGTCACACCAGGCTGGGGCCGCTTTCCCTGCAGGCCGCCCGCCTCCCTCCGCCAAGCCCGCTCCTCCCTGTCGCCCAGACGGTCCTCAGCAGCCCAGGCTCGGCACGCACTTGGTCCCCAGCTCCTGGTTTGCGGGGCCTGGTTGGAGGCTCACTCTCTGAGTGTAGACTGTCCTCCCAGCGGACGTCGGTCACCGTGCACTCTGCCAGTCAGGCGAGGGGAGGGCGCTGCGTGTGGGGTCCCCGAGCCTCCCCTCCCACGAGGGCCCCCCGATGCCTGCGCTGCAGTGGCAGAATTGTAGCCGCGCAGGTCTGGCACTTCTGCTCGGCTGGGAGTTTAGCTTTAGTTTTTACCTATCTTAACTTGTGCGGTGCTGGGGATGGGACGCGGGGCATCACGCGTGCTAGGCAGGGGCTGTGTCCCTGAGCCACACCTCAGCCTGCGTTTAGGAGCTGGCCAGGGGCAGTTGGGTCCGAGTGCTCTGTCTGGAAACCCGACGTCCCGTGCTCCCTGCGGGAGAGCCGCGTGGGCTGTCTGGGTGACCTTGTCACTCAGGACTTTCTGACAGGCACGTTCTCAGAGCTCTGCCTCGGCCCAACCTCGCAAGCTGCCCCGATGCGGGAGGCCCCAGCCGCCCTGTGCCCCGCTCGCACCGGGCCCTGATGCGCCCGTGTTCCCTGCAGCCTGGTCTGTGTCGGTGGCGACGGCATGTTCAGCGAGGTGCTGCACGGTCTCATTGGGAGGACGCAGAGGAACGCTGGTGTGGACCAGAACCACCCCCGGGCTGTGCTGGTGCCCAGCCCGCTCAGGATCGGCATCATCCCCGCAGGTGAGGAGTGCGGCTTTGCGGTCCCCGTCCGTGGCTCGGCTCTCCAGGGCAGGTCTCCTGTCCCTGGGCTATTCGTCCCCCTTCCGCTTCACTGCTTCACAGAAACAGAGGTTTCTGTCACCATCCAGTGAGCTGAGCGCGTGAGCGTCTGCCGGGAACTGCGTCCTGCTCCCCAGCACTGCCCCATCCGTTCGAACCCCCAGCAGTGGGCGGGCAGAAGTGACTCTGGGGGTGGGGCTGCAGGCCAGTGTCGGCTGGCGCCTGGTGCTGGGCTGGGCAGGGGTGGTTCCTGGGTGGCGCTCTGGAGGGGTGACTTCTGCTGACCGGAGGGTGCGGGGGTTGGGCAGCACGCACAGGGTCCCGAGGGGAGGGGTGAGTGAGGGTGGAGAGGGAAGGGCAGTGGAGACCCAGAACGGGACCCTGCTGACCGTGTGGGTGCCGGGGCCGTGTCCTGATGGCGTCTCCTCAGAGGTGCATTTACTGTCCTGGGAGAAGTGCCTGGCTCTTGTGGCGGTTTCAGCGCTAACCCTGTGTGCTGCTGTCCCAAATGAACCCTTGCCTTGTGCCCCCCCCACGCCCTGGACCCTTGGTGTGGCCACTGTGGCAGAGCCTCCTCACAGACCTGGCGTGGCGACCTTCCCGTGGTCAGTCCCGACTGTCCCCACTCGTGGTGCACACGGGAAGCTCGGCAGTGAGGTCGAGGTGGGCAGGTGGGGACGTGGACAGGAGGAGGCGGCGTCTCAGAGGGAGGTCACACTCTGCTGCTGCTGCCCCAGCTTCTTAGCGAGTCTCCCGGACGGCACCTCCCCTTCTAAGCCCCACCCCCACAGCCCCATCTGGTGACAGATCTGTGGATCGCGCCGTTCCCCTCCTCCGCTTGGGTGGTGGCTGGTGGCCTCAGGCCTGATCTCAGGACAGAGGCTCACTTTTGAGAGGATTTCTGTTAGCCTGTAACCTAATAACCATAGGCTGAAAATAGATAATGGGCGGACCGTAATCCAAGTCCCTTTAGCTCTGGGAAGTTTTGACGGAGCAGTTACCGGGGAACCATGTCACTGACCTACATGAGCATGCAGCCACTCCTGGGGACCCAGTCCCATTGAGGACAGCCGGCTGGTGGCGCCGGGGCCCGGGTTGTAGAGGACAAACACTCGGTTCCCTGGGGAGGCAGACCCCTTTCAGTGAAGCCGAGGTCACCAAGCCGTCCACAGGGGTCGGAGCAGAGCCTCTGAGTGCCTGGCTCCCGTGGCACTCCGTTGGGTTTGCGTAAGGCTTTTGCTGCAGGCGGCGACCAAGGGCTGCAGGCCCAGCACAGGAGTGCACGTGGGGCCCTGTCCGCGGTCTGTCCCTGTCCCGTCACAGAGACCCCACGGCTGTCCTGTGGCTGACAGAGCCCCCCGCGTGCACTCGGTGTCTGCTTGCCTTGCTGGGTGTGCTGGCCCTAAGGATGTTCTGCTTCTTCAAGTGACCCAGATGCCGTGTCGCTGCCAGTCGCTGTGCCCCTGGAGGACAGCGGGCATCACTGCCGTCTTCACTCCCTCACCCGCCTCCATCGCCCTCCGTGGGGTGTCCATGCTCACTGAAGCCAAACGCTGGTGCCCATGGGCCCAGAGGCTCCAGGCCTGAGTGACTTCCGCGTGGACATCGCTGGCCTGGGGTCTCAGTGTCCACTTGCTTCCCCTGTGATGGCCACGTCCGGTTCGGCTGGCCGTGGGGCCTGGGCACGGCCCCACCACATCTGTGTGTGATTCTGCCCAGTCTGCAGGGCGACCGTCTCACTGGCCGTCTCTCTTCGTGTTTCTCTCCTCTCCTGGAGCCCGAGCTGCCCTTACAGCTTGCTTGTTCGCTTCTGGGCTTCTGCCTTTTGCCCAGAGAGTGTGCTGCCTCTTTTGACCCTGGGACTATTTGGACAGCTCTCATCCTGGTAGTGGGTTATGTTTTACAACTCTTTTCCAAGTTAGGGTTTGTTTTTTTTTTTTTTTTTTTTTTGAGATAGGGTCTCACTACATAGTCCAGGCTGGCCTGGAACTCACTATGTAGCTCAGACTGGCTTCAAACTCACAATGATCCTTCCGCCTCAGCCTCCCAAGAGACACGGGCATGTGCCGCCACTTTCAAGTTAGGTTTTATCTGTTAATGATACAAGGGACAGAAACTCCCAACCTGCTAGATGTCTGGACGAGTTCGTGTTCTCTAAAATTGAAGAACGAATCTTAGGAACAGCTGAGGTTAAGGGCGGAATGTATTTATTGGGGGAAAGAAAGCTTGTGTTCACAAGAGACAGAAAGGGTCCCAAGTGGGTTGCCAAAGGCCTTACCTTTTCTAGGGATTTTTATGGAGCAAAACCACAAGGTGAGGTGGGTCCAAGGTGGAAAACATGGGAACTCACAAGGTGGGCGTGAGGTGGACAAAACTATGGTCAGCCAATAAGATTACGAGTGTAATTGTTCAGGTAAAATTAACTAAATCAGGATCAAATGGGTAAGCAAGTCACATAGCAAATGGGCATGAATACAGGACAGGGGCCTTTCCTGTACGGGGTTGGGTTGGTGACTCTTCCTGGCTTTTTCAAGGTGACCCATGATACTTATTTAGAGTATCAATCCCTGATGTCCGTCCCTAGGGAGGTATGTGGGTGTGTTTGTTTTATCTTGTGTCTTGGGGTCTGGCCCACAGTAGAGGTGCCTGTCTCTCCCACAGTGATCCTCCTGCCTCAGCCGCCCCAAGGGACAGCAGGTGTGCAGCACCAGGCTGCTGCTTCCTCCTCGTGTTCTCCGGGGCTGTGGAAGGGAGCACAGGGCACTCCCCTGCGCAGGGCGCCCTCTCCCGTGTGCCGCGTCGGGGCACTGAGTCCCGCGTTCCTTGCAGGCTCCACGGACTGCGTGTGCTACTCCACCGTGGGCACGAACGACGCGGAGACGTCGGCGCTGCACATCATCGTCGGTGGGTCCCGCCCCGTGCTGAGCCGCCAGTGCGGACCTGGCTCCGTCCACGTCCCGGCCTCCGCATTCTCACACCTGCTGCCCGCTCTCGGGGTGTGCCAGGCCCCTGCCCTGTCACCCTCCAGATGCCGTCCCCTTCCCAGTGTACTGGGTGGTTCTGCTGGATGCCCGCTGTCCCTGAGGGCAGGAAGCGACCCTCATCCTCTGCATGGTGGCCATGGCCGTGGCACAGGCTGTGACCCGGCTGACTCCTGTTGGCCTACTCTCCGGGCAGCGCCCGCCAGGCTGCGGCGAGATCACCCCTGAGGCAACAGACGGCCCAGCCCCAAGGGCTGACGGGCCCTGGGAGTTCCCGAGTCCCCGGGCGCACCCCCTTTACAGCGGATCGTGTCTTACCTGGCATCGCAGCAATGTTATGTTCAGAAGAGTTTGGATTTTGTTGTTGTTTGAGACAGGGTCTCACTATGAGGTTCAGGCTGGCCTCAGACTCACAGCAGTCCTCCTGCCTCAGCCTCCCGAGTGCTGGGATGACAGGAGTGTGCCACCACGCCCTGTAGGAGTTTGTATTTTTAAATGCTATGTACCTTTCTTTTACTGGCCAGGCCACCTCCTTTCAGTAGTGACCTTATGGCCTCAGGGTACATTCTTGTCCTGTCCCAAGAACAGCTTCCCAAGAATGTTTTGGAAGTTTCGGCCATGTTTTGTTGTTTGAATCAAAATCGGAGAGGGCCGGGGTGTGGGTGGTTGTGGGGCTCCGCCTCGGCCGTGCCCTGGGCGTGGCCCTCACTGGCGCTGCCCGCAGGGGACTCGCTGGCCATGGACGTGTCCTCCGTGCACCACAACAGCTCGCTGCTGCGGTACTCGGTGTCCCTGCTGGGCTACGGCTTCTACGGGGACCTGATCAAGGACAGCGAGAAGAAGCGGTGGATGGGGCTGGCCAGGTACGACTTCGCAGGTGAGTTGGCACGGCGGCCGCCTAGGCGGCGCTGACCATGTTGCAGGCGCCGTCCGACTTCACCCACAAGGGCCCTGCTCCCCTGCACGGGTGGCAGTGCTGCCACCCAGATCCTGTTCCTGGGACCCGAGCCCCAGTCACTTCACAGAGGCCCCGAGCCTCGGAGGTGGGTGGCGGCCTGAGAGGTCAGGTGCTGTGGCCCTGTCGGCTGTGGACACAGCAGCTGGAGTAGGAGCAGGGGACGCAGTCAGTCTCCTGGTCACTCGGAGCTGGCAGCGCGGTGGCAGTCAGTCCCGCTTCGCCCAGCACTGCCCTCCAGGCCAGGGAGCTTGGGCTTCATCCCTTACTGGCGTGGTGCCCCTTGGTGAGCCCTTCTGCCCCTGGGGTGCTCAGCGCACGGGAGCTCCTCCGGGCAGGCTGGGGCAGGCTCCGGCTCCTGTGCCGTGCTGCGCCCTCTGGGGGCCACAGGTCCGACTTCCTGGCCTTTAAATCCTGTGCAGGGCTCCATCCCCACTGCACAGCTGGACACCCCGGCCTGGCTGGACGTCTCTGGCTCTCAGCCTTGGCAGCCATCAGTGCCCCCATGCCTTGCCCCCGCCAAGTTCCTCATGCAGCAGGAAGTGACCGTGTGTGGGGAGGGCAAAGTCCCTGCGGCTCCCTTCTGATGGCAGTGGTGACATCAACCCCCAAGGGCCCTGCCCTCCCCACTCGCAGGCCGAGGCTCCCTGCACTCTCAGTGACGTCGGCCCTGGAGCGGCGGCGTGTGTGGCCCGCAGTGACCCTGTTTTTCTCCTGGCTGCGTTCTGTCCCAGGTGTCAAGACCTTCCTGTCGCATCACTACTACGAAGGGACGGTGTCCTTCCTGCCGGCGCAGCACACGGTGGGGTCGCCGCGGGACAAGAAGCCCTGCCGGGCAGGGTGAGCAGCTTCTCCGGTGTTTCTGTCGCCGGGGGCGGGGCCGCTCGGGCTCTGTTCCTGCACTGACGGCGCTGCAGATGCTGGCGCACCATGAGGAGGGCGCCGTGCGGGGCAGCCTGACCCAAGGATTCGGTGGTGGGGTGGGGTCCACGCAGGCCAGGACCCGGGTCAGCACTGGAGTGAGGCTGGCAGGCGCAGCACTGGCTCTTGCTGGGCTTCCCTCCCTTTCCTGGGTCAGCTGGACGGAGGGACATGGGAGAAAGGATGAGAGACGAACGCTGTGTCAGCAGCTGAATGCGTGGTGCGTGTGCACGTGCGTGTGTCAGGCTGAGCCAGGAAGGCCGAGCCCTGTCCTCGTGCCAGCAGAGACCCCGCCCCACTCCCACCCCAGCAGAGCCCCTGGCCCATTTTGCCCTTGCCCAGGAGGGACTCAGCTGCGGTCAGGAGGGCCCTGGCACAGCCCGTGTCCCTCAGAAAGCCAGGAGGGCGCGGCTAGTCCCAGCGCTAGGTCCTAGGGCAGAGCAGAGCCACACCAGGAGGGGTGCAGAGGAGGCTGAGGCAGAGCGGGCCCCTCGCAGGCCTGGCGTGCTGTGGCCCCCTCCGTGTACACGCAGGCACAGGTACGTACGTCAGGGAGCGCCCTGCACACAACGCAGAGCCAGCGCCATCGGACCCATTCAAACAGCCACCGCCAGCCTCACGCGTGGCATCCAGGCTGCGGGGCCGCACCAGTGGCAGTCCGCCTCCTGGCCACCTGTGGCTGGCCTGTGGCTCGGAGACGAGTGCGACCCGGTGAAGGACACAGCCCGTCCTTTCCTTGCCCTGGGTCCTCGCCCCTTCTTACACGCAGCACGCGAGCCCGTCAGAGCGCCCAGCGTTGCATCCGCATGCTCAGTTACCCACGGGCAGATTTGCTAGTGACCGGCAGGACCCACGCAGGACGCCGCTCTGGGCTCGGGGCTGAGTTCTGAGTGCCCCGGGGGGCCCCTTGCGTGTCACTGTTGGGAACAGGCACCCCTTCACTGCGCATGCCCTGGAGGACACGCATGCCCACCGTGGGCCGGTGCAGGTGGCCTCGTGACACACACGGTGTTTATAGACTTTAGAGAAGAACGTGGTGATTCCCGGGTGCAATTTTAAAAGTAAATCTAAGTTTGAAAGGTCAGTGTGTACCCTGAAGAAATATTTTACCTCAGCCTTTGGCATGGAAGCGTCCGTAGTATGAAAGGAATTGGAATACTTTCACAAAGACTGAGCACTTGGACTTCACCGCCAAATCCATTCATCAGAGAGAGGGTGACCGGGTTCTTGTCTTCCAGGTGCTTTGTGTGCAGGCAGAGCAAGCGCCAGCTGGAGGAGGAACAGAAGAAGGCTCTGTATGGCCTGGAGAGCACCGGTAATCCCCGCAGACGTGTCCGTGCGAGCCGGGCTCAGCGTGCTCTGCCGTGCATTGCCGCTTCCCGCCGCCCGCCTCTGCTCTCTCTTTCTCTGTGGCTCTGCGCATTCATGTTCGCTCCAGCTCTGGGCACCAGCAGCTCATTGCCGCTGAGCAACTCTGGCAAATGCAGATGTTTGTGCAAAGCCCTGCAGGCCATGCTCCAGCCGCTGCTGAGAGTTTCGGCCAGGGTCCCAGCCTCGTGCCCTGGAGCAGGGCTCAGCTGACCTTCTGTTCGGGCCGTGCCTGCCTGCGCGGGGCCTCCGTCCCCACAGACGGTGTCTGGCTAAGCAGGCCTGGCTTCCTGCCCACCAAACCTCAGTTATGGACACGAAACTTGAATTTCTTCATGTCACAAAACATTGTTTAGATCTTCTCCAGCTATTTAGAAGTCTGGGCACCCTTCCAGGCTGCTGGGCTGTTGCACACACACAGAGGGCTGCCACCCCAGTTCTGAGTCACTGTCCCTTGGAAGGAGCAGTGAGCACAGCTGGGCCTCCCGGGAGGTGACCCCTCGGGCGCAGCACTCCGTGTCCCTGCCTGGGCTGGGGCTGCTGAGGGTCAGTCTGGAGAGAGCCAGGAGAGGGGTGCAGGTGGAGGGAGGGGACGTCTGCCCGTCTTGCCGGCGTGACGTCTGCCTGCTTCCTCTCGGCTTCAGAGGAGGTGGAGGAGTGGCAGGTCATCTGCGGGAAGTTTCTGGCCATCAATGCCGCCAACATGTCCTGTGCGTGTCCACGGAGCCCCAGCGGGCTGTCCCCAGCTGCCCACCTAGGAGATGGGGCTTCTGACCTCATCCTCATCCGGAAGTGCTCCCGATTGGACTTCCTGAGGTTCCTCGTCAGGCTCACAAACCAGTGCGATCAGGTACGCCCCTCCGGTCTCTGGTGCTTGAGCACTGCCCACTTAGGTGGTGTAGGGGTCATAGTTTCTCTGGGAGGGAGGGAGGAACAGAAGGAGGGAGGGAGGGAGAGAGGAATCCCTTGGTTTTTATATCACTGATGTTAAACTCCTGGTCATAGTTTCACTCCTTGTCAAAATACATTAAGTAGTACAGCGCTTGCCTGTACTGTCACAGGTGGAGCACACCTGTGATCTCAGCACTGGGAGGCGGAGGCAGGCTTGCTTGAGTTCACGGTTAGCCCCAACTACACACTGAGACCCGTCTCAAAAAGAACAACAAAAAGCCAGAAATCCTGCGCGTGGAGAGCAAGAGCTGCGAGCGCTCCCGCGTAGCCTCCTCTCTGCCCTGGCCCTTCCTGCTTGGTGCGCGCACGGGGTCGGGGGTTCTTGTTGCGCTCGCAGATCATGTTGTCTTGAGGCCTCCAGAAGTGGGCTCCGTTCAGACTCCATCCAGTCCTCCGACATCCCTTTGTCCCCTCGGGGAGGACCTGAGTCTTACCAGACTGGCAGGCTGGGATGTTTGTCACAGCCTCTACTTTTAGCAAAAACATCTTTTAACTTCGATTATATGTAAGACCTCACCCAGAGGTCTTTATGTAGCTTTTTAAATAATGCTTTTAAAAGGGTAGAGAATTGTGACCATCCCTGCTAATCACCAGAACTCCCAAGAAGTGCCCGTGCTGGTGTCAGAGTCGTCTGAGGCCTGGGAGCACTGCGCCCCTCCCTCGTCCTCTGGCCACTGCCAGGGTGGCTCTGGTTGCTGCCTGGTGTCGGAGAGCCGCAGGCTCTCAGAGGAGGAGGCCCAGCTGCCCCGGTACAGTCAGCATGGGGTGGGCTGTCGGCAGCCTCCGGGGTCAGCTTCCCCTTGTGCTCTCTCCTCCCAGTTTGACTTCACTTTTGTTGAAGTTTACCGCGTCAAGAGATTCCAGTTCACCTCGAAGCACATGGAGGACGAGGACAGTGACCTTGCGGAACGGGGCAAGCAGCGACTCGGGCAGATCTGCACCGACAGCCCCTCCTGCTGCTGCCCGGCCAGCGGCAGCTCCTGGAACTGCGATGGGGAGGTGCTGCACAGCCCCTCTGTCGAGGTCAGGTGAGTGGGGACCCCAGAGTGCGCCGGGCACAGTGTCACCGTAAATGCGCTCCTCCTGCTTGCCAGATGTTGAAGATGGTCTTTCTCAGGTTTGGGAAGAGACAGGGTGTGGATTTGGGTGCACTGTTTCCCAGATACTGTGCCCAGGATTTGAAGCCCCCCGCCGTTACCTTTCCTTGCCACGCCATGCCCAGGGCTGTTGTTGGTCTCTGCCCTGGCACTTTTTTTCTCTCTTGCTAAGTTCAAAGCAAACACAGAGCATGTGCATAGTCCTCCTGTTCCACTGAGCCCACCAGCAGACATGGTACCTGGTCATGCCTGGGACACAGGACCACGATGACCCCTGGAGGCAGCGGGGACACTTGGGTGCCGAGGCCCTGAAGCCTGGGGCCCTCAGGAGCTGGGGTGGCGCAGTAGGGGTGAGCCCCCAGAGGTGGGAGCCCCTTGTCGGGTGAAGTGGGCCCCATGCACTCAGCCACCTCACGTATTAGAGGGTGGTTCAGAGCTGCTCTGGGCCAGCACACGGGGCTAACACGGGACCCTGTGCCCCCGGCACCCTGGAGCACCAGGTCCGCTTTTGTGGCTGCCTTCGGAGCGCAGGAGTTTGTCTTCCCGGACAAGGCTTGGCCTTGGCAACCTGCAGTACCTCCGAGTGTGGTGCACACCCAGATGGTCTCGTGCCTGGCGAGGGTTCCCTCCCTGTGGAGAGACCCCAGCAGCAGGAGCTCTGAGTCGGGGCTGGGTGTGAGAGCCCCTGAGCCTGGGGAGCAGCGTGCAGCCCTGGAAGGGTCTGTGCCGTGGGCGGGTGTCTGAGATGGAGGCGCTCCTGGTGAGAGTGCCGAGGAAGCTCGACCGGAAGTGGTGGGACCTCCGCTGTCTCAGCCACGGGCACAGCGCTGCGTCGCCCCACTTCCAGTGTCCACCATTAGCACCCAAGTGACGCACACAGAGAGGCAGGAGGCCTCCGGGGCTCCGCGAGTCTGGGGTCCGCGTGCTCCCTTTGCTTCTGGCCCATGTGGCAGGAGCGCCCGGCCTCTCTCAGTGCTGTGGACCTGCAGAGGCCCAGGGAGCCCTGCAGGCCCACTGTCAGTGCACGCAGGGCCGGTCCTTTCAGCTTGGTTTACTGCTATTATCTTGAGGCACAGGAGATTAAACCCAGGGGTGTTACTCAGCTGCACTATGTCTCCTCCTTCATTCAAGGCAGTCTTGCTAAGTTCCCCAGGTAGGACTGGAATTGAGATCCTCCTGCCTCAGTCTCCCTCAGTGCTGGGATTGTAGGCCTCCACCACCATGCCTGGCTTGTGTATAACTGAAGAGATAGCATGCTTTCAAAATTCAGACAGGCATTGTTGAGCTTGTGCGTCTTGAATAAGGGACATGAACAGGGATGTACGACAGGGATGCCCTGCATGGAAAGGGGGCCCTGTCGGCTCCAACCCAGCACAGCCCTGACCCGCTCCTCTGTCCTGGGCTCTGCTGGCATCAGGCCTCGTGTTTCTTGACTAAACCTGTCCTGCACATCTCCGTGTGTGGAGTTGCCCTGCATTACTCCCCCAGGGCCCAGTGGGCTTGGTGCTTAGGGGGAAGCTGAGGCAGTCAGGTGCATGTGCAAGGGATTTACCAGTGTGCTCCAATCGGATGCCCTTGGAGGGGTCACCACATCCCAGGGCAAGGCCAGCTTGGAGTGGGGCGCGTGTTGAGCTGATGCCTGGCACTTTTTCTGCGCAGGGTCCACTGCCAGCTGGTCCGACTCTTTGCCCGAGGAATCGAGGAGAACCCTAAGCAGGAATCAGACAGCTGAGGAGCTGCTACACCTCATCCACCTCACACCAGGGAAGTGTGAAAATTATTTCAGAGAATTACTACAGACCAATTATGTGGATATATACATTTACATTTAGAAATTTATTTTTGATAGGTAAATCTTGGTTTTAGGAAAAATACCCTTGTCAACAGTTTTGTGCACATCTCTGTCATCCAGAGTTTCTGGGAATCTGAGCTGCGTCTCACATAACTTATTCTCCGCAGGCAGCGCTTGCTGATTTGGGGACATTGGCTTCTTAGATTGTAACAATCCCGACAACGCAGGTCGAAAGCAGCCCTTTAGTGGCTCTATTGCAATAATTTTAGAGACATCATAATATGAGCACTGCTCAAAAATCAGGTCACCCCATCTGGACACAAGGTAACTAGCGTGTCGTTCTGACCCACCGTGCAGAACTTGTGCCTGGAACTCGGAGTGCGTCTGGCAAGCTGATGGCTCTTCGGCTTCACCTTCGTGTCCGTCCTCCTCTGTGCTCAGGGTGTCGCTGTGCGACCCTCGCGGTGTGGCGCAGCCCTAGTGCAGTGTCGGCCTGAGGACAGTGGCACGTTGGGAGCCCCGCCACTGAGAGGCACGGGTGATACGTGATCTTTACGATCTCTGTGCCGGCTTCCGGCACAGCGGCGAGGGCGGTGGTGGCAGCGGCGGCAGGGGCATCTGCCCGACAATCCAGCAGGGAGCAACTCAGGCGCTCTGCTCTCCGGGGCGGGGCTCTGCAGACAGGCAGTCTGTCCAACCAGGCTGAATCCCGATGGCTCACGCTGACAGTGTGGTAACACAGCTGGGCTGTGTGGGGGAACAAACGCAGCTGGCTTTCGACAGGCAGGAAATTCACAGGGGGTGAAGTACGTGGACTTCACACCGAAGACCCCTGTCTTCATGGGGCCCCGGCGGTGTCCTGTTCCAGCAGGATTGCTTTGGCACAGGCCCTGACCTCTGTCCTCCAGTCTAGAGTTTTGACTTTTGTTTATTTATTGGAAGTTTTGTCCTCGGCAATCTGAAGAGCATAAACGGTGTCTTTGCTTTGTTTTGTCTCTGCACTCTGGGGGACACTTGGTTCCTGCTCAGCCTTGGGTAGGGGCCGGGGCTTCCCCAGGCCTCGTGTGGCAGTGGGTGGCCCTTAGCTGGGTGCCCGGCTTTACTTTGTTTTCAGGCTGTGTCTGATAAGATGTGTGTGAAGTAGTTTTATTTGAAATACAAGAATGTGCCGCTTAAACCTGACCCGTGAGGAACAGAGGCTGTCACTGAATAGGGTCTCGTGCGTGGCTGCAGGTTGAGGGTCCACACGGGGTCCCCTAGTCGCTATAGCAATTGACAGTAGCTATTTTTAGATTTCTTGCATTGATTTATATCATAAAAGCATATATGACATTTCCTGTGTCATCATTCAGTCCCACCCAGACAAAAAGGCAGCTTTCCAGGTGGCTTCTAAGTGGACCACGTTTGCACGGGTCATCGTGTGAGCGGGACGGCTGAAGAGGTGGTGGTGGAGTGAAAGTCTTGGTAGAAAGAGTGAACACACTGCTCCTTCCACTCGCGTCTGTTCCTGCTTGGGAGAAGCCGAGCATTGGACTGGCAGTTCTTGCTGGGGCAGGGAACTCTGTGCCCAGCAGGCAGCAGGCCTGGTGCACGCTTGGGGCATGCCCTCCTGGAGTCCCACCTGGGCTGACAGCCTGGCACCTGCTGCCCTCAGGGTGTGCCAGCATCCTCGGCGACCTCAGACCAAAGACCCAGGTGAGAGACGCTCTGGAGCTGCTGCTCAGTCGGAGGCAACGTGGAGAACCGAAGGGTTTGAACTGTTTCAGGCTCCTCGAGAGCATCTGACGCCAGAAGGCCCTGGGACGGGGGCTGGAGGAAGGCGGTGGCGGGATGGGGTCTTGTGGAGGGCTGGGCTGTGTGGCCAGCCATCACGTGTGTGCCGGGGCCCAGCAGTGGGCAGTGCTGAACAGCGGCTCCTGTGCCGGAGATGCTGGGGGAAGAGGGCTCGTGTCTCTAATCTTGCTGGTCTCAAGATTAGAATACAACGTATTTGCTCTGGTATGTTTGCGAAGACAAAAATAAAGTACTTTGGGCAGAATTTAGCATTTTTTCTTTCTTTCATGAATTCACATTGTTTTCAAGGCAGAATATTGGGGGCTGGGTATTAGCTCAGCGGCACAGCGCCTGCCTGGCAAGCGCAAGGTCATGAGTTTGATTCCCGGTACTGGAAAACAAAAAACAAAAAAAACATGAGAACAAAGTGAGCAAAGGTCACTACACCTCCTGTCCCCCACTCCCGCCTCCCCTTGCTGGTTGCCCCACTGTAACATCTCAGGTAGCCCTGCTGCTTTTCTGGGGGTTAAATTCTCCAAGGCCAAGTTGGGCACTGGGGGTCCTGCAGCCTGTCTGAGGGAGTCACCCAGTGCAGCATGCCACTTCCCTGGTGCGGCTGGTCTCCAGCCAGCAGGACCCTCAGGGTCGGGTGTGTGAACCTGGCAGGGAGCACCTGTCGCTGGCTCATGTTGTGCCCTTCCTCACTACCCCAATTTGCTCTTGGGAAGCAGTGTGGGGTCAGGCAGTACTGGGCCTGCGTCTGGCTGTGGTACCCAGCAGTCATGCAGACCACTGGGCTAAGAGTGAGTAGAGAGAAGGTGTGCCCAAGGGCAGAGGAGATGGGGGCTAGGCTGTGGCATGTGGGCACAGCAAGACTGCACTCAAGAGGGGCTGAGGATGTGTCTTCTAGTTTCCCAACAACCTTCATCCCATCTCTGCTATATCCTAGCAAGGAGGACAGTGCCTGCTATAGCTGGTTGGATGGCTGGGTGGGTGGGTTGGTGGATGGGTGAGTGGACAGGATCTATGTATGTATGTATGTATGGAAGGGGGTGGATGATGGGTGTGTGGGTGGAGGGAGGATGAGTGGGTGGGTGGATGAGTGGACAGGATGGATGGATGCGTGGGTGGATGGGTGGACGGATGGGTAGGTGGGTGGACGGATGGGTGGACAGGGATGGACAGGTGGGTAATGGATGGGTAGATGATGGATGTATAGCGGCATAGATGATGAATGAAAGCTGAGTAGATGGATGGAAGGTACAAATGTCCAGCCTTACCTGGCTACACACCTGAGGTTTCCACCTGGCTCCAGCTCCCTTCCTGGGGTGGGGCAGGTCTCTGCCTCTTGGGGGCTCTCGGGGGTTGGAACATAGAAGTCAGGTACTATCAGTGTGTCCCCCATAGCCCTGTGCTCGATCCCAGGGGATCCGGAGACCAGGAAGGTCCTGCATCCCTTTGTCCAGGGTCTGGGTCAGCCAAGCCACTGCTGTCACCAGGAACTCTCTGCCCAGTGACCTGACAGGCAGGACACCATGACTGCTGGGGCCCCTGTCCCAGCCCCATGGCACTAGCTGTCGTCCAAGTCACACCCCACCGGTGCCCGCCTCGCCCTGCTGCCCGCACCCTCTCACCATCTGGCCTCCACTGCTGCCCAGCACCCCCTCCAAACCTTCACCCGCCCCGGCTCAAGGTGGCTGCAGGGACCCCAGGAACAACAGGATATGGGGGTCCCCTGGGGCCTGGGGCTGCCCAGCCTGCTCCGGCCACCCACAGCCTGCCAAGAAAGCAGAGGGACTGAGCCTTAGCACAAAGCATTTTAGGTTTATTTAAATAAAAATTATAATTTATACAAGACTTTTTTTTTTTTTTAAACAAGGTTTTCTTAAAAAATGTGACAAGGGTTTTTTCATCAGTTCTCCATACAGTACAATCCTTTTGCTGAACAAAAGTTAACACCAGGAACGATTATGTACAGATCCAAAATAGACTCAAGCTTCAGACATACAAAATTTAACATTCGTTCTAGTTCAGTGATTAGTCATAGAAATTAAATACCTGCCCAGATTTACACCTCCACAGAACGGCAGTCTCTGACAGGCGCAAGACCTGTGCAGGGCCCCCAGGCTCCACAGCAGGACCTGCTACCGCCTGCCTGTGCAACTTGGGGTGACGCCAGCCTCCCCACACTGGGTGGCTGTGCCCAGCAGGCCGTGGCCAGTCTTCATCGCCCTTCTCTGAGAAAGGGACTCAAACTGAAACAGGCGGCCTGAAGAAGCCCCGTCCGCCCAGGCGCTCCCCGGGGTGCTTGCGGACAGCTTCACCGTGTGTTGCAGGAAGTGCTCCCTGAGCACACGTTCCCAGCACCCGCCCTGGGCACCGCCAGGGCCAGGGGAGAGGTCTGACCATCACTCATGGGCATCACCCACACAGCCTCCCCTCGGGGTCCTCCTGGGTCCTGCCCAGCCCTGTGCACTTGACAGTGGGTCTACTACCAGGCTGAGCCACGCCAGGGGCTCTGCTTGGAACGGTGGCAGCCTGGAGTGGCCTGTGCGCCTGACCGGGCTGGCTGTGCCCTGTCCCCGCACCAGGTGCGACCCTGCGGCCCCCAGGGAGGGGGTCACCAGCCCACACCCCAGTCTCACTCCCAAGCCTGCCAAGGAGAATTCAGAGCAAAGGTAAAAATACATTTGAAAAATGATACAAAAATAAGAAAAACAGCTTGCTCTCTGTAAAAAATATAATCTGTTTCTCCAAAAAACAATCTCAGTGACACCTGAAAGACCCGGGACAAGCTGACGAACTGGAGACCGCTTGGAAGGCGTGCAGACTGCCTGTGGCCGCAGCCTTCGGAGGCCAGCCTGTCCCAGGACTCGATGTCGGCTGCTTTTCATTTCAAATCCACGTGCAGACCACGCCCCGGGGTAGACCAAGCCTGGGAGACACACCCGCAGCCGCCTCTACCAGAGCAGGAGTTCGTCCAAGCCAGTGTGCGCCGCCCGCGGGGGCGGCCTAGGGGGCTTTGTGCTGGGCCACGCACTGATACTGTCCAGCGTCGCGGGCGCAGGGCGGCCCTGCCCCACGTCGGGATGTGCTCACAGCCACCCGCTATGGAAGACGGTCCTCCCAGGGGCCCCTGACGGCCCCACAGGCAGAGAGGGCACCTGCAGCCTGGGCCTCTATGGGCCACAAAGCCCTGGCCACCCCGGCCACCCCAGCCTGTGCCTACCTGTGTGGCTGCGGCCCGGAGGCCAAGTCTGGCCTGACTGTTGATTTTCTCCTGACGGCAGCCACAGCTCAGCACCCCGAAGCCCTCCGGACGCCCTCCAGGGCCCCTCCGGGGAGCAGTGTTAGGGAGCTGTGCTTCACCCTCAGGCCACTCTACCCTTCCTGTCACCAAGCACAGGCCATGGCAGTGATGGGGCGGCCCCCAGACGCCCAGGCTCACTGCTCCCACGACCACAGCCCTGTCCCTGGGCTGGGCTCTGGAGCTCCAAGGACAAGCGCAGCTGCAGGTCAGCTCGAGGGAGAGCCCCTGGCCACTTCTGGGCAGCTGGTGCGGGGGCCCAGGGCCACTCCTTCCTGCCCCCAGCGGGAGGGGACATGGACGCACTCGGTGATGGCTTTGGTGGGAAGCTTCAGACCTCTGCTAAGCAGGGGTCGCGGGGTCGTGAGAGCCTCCCGGGTGGCCGGTGCCAGTCAGTACCCAGGTGGACCAGAGAACGAGGCGCTATGCTTAGCAGGCCCGGTCAGCGAGGCCTCACATGTCATCCTTCTGATGAACCCTGCAGACCCTCTGCCCAGCCATGTCCACTGAGCGCCACCTGTGCCTGCCAGGGGCAGTGGCTCCTCCTCATGGGCCCCAGCCAGGGGCGATGGGCTCTGCAAATGCGGCCAACCCAACAGAAACCACCAGGTAGGGGATTATTGCAAAAGGTCACGAGGAGGGCCACTCTGTCCCACAACCGTGTTAGAAAGTGCCGGCGGCCTCCAGGGGTCGGTACTAGCTGTCTCCGCCCGAGGCTGCTGCAGATGTGATCTTCAAATACTGGCTGAAAATGGTCTCGAAGGCCTCATCTCTGTGCACCATGGCACCAAACACCAGCGGCTAGGGGGAAACGCTGTCTGTGAGCGCACAGTCCCTGGCCAGGCTGGGGCCAAGACAGTGACCCCCAGGCCGAGCACCCATCAGCTGGACAGGGTCCCACCCTGAAGGCTCAGAAAAACTGAGGCAAGAGATGGGGAACCTGGGCTACAGGTTCAGCTGCCTCTTTCCTGAGTGTCCACCTGCCCTGTGATGCTATAGCCCCCAAGGGCTGTGGTCACTGCACGCAGGTTGGATGCGGCAGTCTGAAGCCACAGCCCGCCCCAGGTACAGCCAGAGCAAAGCCCCCAGCCCACCCGGACCAGGTGCAGCCGCCCCTGCCACTTACTTTCTGGGTGGACGGTGTGGACACGGCAATACCCATGCCTGAGCCTGGGAGGACAGACAGGACCTTGTACTGAAAGACAACAGCAGTGTCACCACTGCCCCCACACAGGGCTGCACCAGCTCCCTGAGGACCCAGGGCATCTCCTCCACCCAGCACACCCATGGCGAGACCCAGGGGGCTGGCCAGCCCCAGCCAGGGGCCTAGGGCCTGCGGGTGTCTCCTGACTGCAGACTGAGAAATGGGACCTGCCATGGCCGGTCCTGCGCCAGGCAGGGAGGCGGGCCGCTAAGGCACTGCACGTGGGGGATGGGCCAGGCTTGAGTCCCGGTGGGCAGTCACCCCGAGGCTCTGGCCTCAGCTGTGCAGCTTCCCACTGGCCGCAGTGACCGTGACAGCCACGGGGCTGGAAGCCAACACGCCGACAAGGGACTGATCCCCCAGCCGGCGACCCTGGCCAGGGTGCTGGAGCCAGGAAGGAGCGGGTGGCCGCACTGAGGGCTCACCCCGACCCTCTTCCGTCCCAGACAGTGAGCCCTCCACCCTGAGTCCCGGCCACACCTGTGCCCAGGCCAGCTGCACAAGCCCATGCTGACCCACGAGGCCTGCCAGGGAGCTGCGCTCAGTGGACACAGCGTCCACGCGCCTCCCTGGCATCCGTGCCCAGGGCAGGAGCTCGGCTTCTCCAGGGTGTCAGAGATGGGGCACCAGCAGTGTGGGCAGAGCGGGCACAGGTGCTCCCTTCCAGTTGCCCTGCAGGGCATGTGGACCTCAAGGCCCACTCCCTGCCTGCTGCACTCGGGGAGCAGGGCAGGCGCTGGCCACCGGGGTCAGGGAGGCTGAGGCGGAGTGGGTGTGGCCGAGGGCCGTGGAGACTCGGACAGAGCTGAGGCTTGGTCCGGAGACCTCCCAAAGGGAACGTGAGAGCGCCTGCAGGTCTGGGGTCCCCGCACAGAACCCCACACCAGGAGGGGTGATAGGAATGCAGGGACTGGGGACCCACCTTCTGGATGTCTGTGATGTCTGCCAGCTTGATGACTTTGTTCCTCTTTGAAGACCCGGATTTGGAGCTTTCGAAGCATAAGTAGCTACATGGGGAGGAAACACAGGGCACAATCTACCCCCGAGCCTAGTGGGCATCTGGCTCAGGCCCAGGGGCATCAGTGACCCCCTCCCCATGAGGCCCAGCACCACCGAGTGCCGGAGAGCCCTGCTCCGTGCTCTGCCCAAGGCTGTCACGCCAGGCAAGAGATGCAGGCGCCCCTGGGCCAGTCCCTTCCACGGCCAGAGGGAGCTGGGGCCTCGACCGCTGCTGCAGGTGGGGGGACAGACAGACCCACGTCCCAGCCCTGGGGGTGCGGGCAGCGAGGGTCAGCGTCACAGCCTGGCTAGCAGAGAAAAGGCAAAGCTGTTTGCAAAGCAAGGACTCGGGCCTTGGCCTGCACAGGCCGCTACATGGTCCCCGCCGGGCGAGGGCCCTCCTGCGCCTCCTGCCACCTCAGCCCCCGAGGGCCCGCCCCACTCACTTCTCCGTCACGTACAGCACCCCGTTCCTGATGTAGTCCGTGGGCATCTTCCGGTCTCGGTTTATCAGGCAGCAGCGCCAGCCGTTCTCACACACTGGGGAGAAAGCTGGACTTGAATTTCCTGCTGCTGCTGCAAAGCCCCGCCCCCTGCTGGGACACTGGTGCCCGTCGGCTCGGATCACCGCGCACACACGTCCATTGCGACCAGCAGAAAAAGCACACGGTGAGCGCCAGGGGGCCGTGCGCTCAGTGGCGAGTGCTGACCTGGCAGCACGGGCCCTGGGTCCACAGTGAGAGGAGGGTGGGCTGCAGGCGGAGGGGCGGCTGAGGGTGTCTGGAAGCCAGGCCTCCCTTGCATGTGACCTGCAGTCACCGCTGACAGTGGAAGCAAAGAAATCACAGGCAGCCTATGGCTTCCGATGTCACAGACCCCCAGGAGGAGGCTCCGGAAACAGCAGGGCCCAGCTGAAATCTCTGTGGCTGGTCACTGTCCACCGCAGCCTCCTTTCTGCGAGGACACCCGGCTCCCCAGACCCCTGTGACCAGACAGCCTTCATGTGTATAGAGGCTGGGATGCGCCCAGCGCGGTGGACAGGCTTCCGGCCTGCACCCGCAGGCAGCCCCGACACTGACGTGGGGCTCCGGTGGCCTGCTTCCTCTTGGAGCACACACTGGTGGGCTTCTGCTGTGGACCAGGCAGTGTGGGGACATCGCCTCCCCTCAGGGATGCCCCTGCTGCTGTCCCAAGGCCTTGGTTCCTGTGTGCTGCCCTTGGGAAGACCCCCCTGTGGGCTGCTTGAACTGCCATGTGGGTGTGGTCACCCTATGCACCCGCGCCCAGCGGGTCACAGACTCGTCACATACACACCTGCCAGCGGACGCTCGTTTTCCGTCAGGTTGAAGATTTCGTGGAAATTGCCCTTCTTGGAGCTGTGGAAGCGACCGGTGTCGTCATCCTTGCTCAGGCCGGCAGGTGCACTGGAGACGTAGCTCCGTGAAGCAGCCGTCTGCAGCTGCCAACAGCACACAGGGCCATCAGACTCGCAAGGAGCAGCTGGCCACGCTGGTGACAGGGGCATAGGGCGGAGGACGCACAAGGGCCTCCCTGCCCACTGCCGCTGCTGACACTCCTGCGAGCTCCACCCCAAATGTGGGGTGCAGCTCCCCCTGGCCCCTGCTGAGCCAGCCCTGAGCTGAGTCCCTCTGCTCCTGGGCTGGGCACCCTCCCCCAAGTGACGGCCCGACACTGCGCCCAGCACACTGAGCCTGAGCACGGGCTGCCAGCACGCGTTCTGTGGGAAAATCGACATTTCAGAATCCGAACTGGCCACAGCAGCAACCTCAGAAAACCAGCCACACACAGCAACGGCACCGCACCCGGTCACAGCAGGCCAAGAGGGCGCCACACCGTCACTGTACCTTGTCGTGCCCTGACGGCTGGCCGGGAGACCACAGACATGTGACCACCACAAAAGAAAAACGGGGAGTGCGTGACACAAGGCCATAAACGCAGGACCCTGAGCAGAGCTGGCACAGACACGCAGGCCCGCAGGACACGTCGGGGTGCGCAGCCTCCACCCCAGAAGGTCGCAGCCCTGCGCTCGCTCCCCGTGCTCTCCTGAGCCCTAGGAAGGTCCCCACCCAGATCCCGGGACCAAGGGCCTGGGCTGCCCACCTCTATGCACCCCAGGGTGATGCCACCTGCAGGATCAGAGCCCAGGGCTGGCCCTGGGAGCTGCTCCTGGCAGGGCGGTCTCATGGTTCCCAAAAGCTTTGTGGTCTAGGAACCTGAGTGTCCCACACCTGACCCAGAGGTTTGTTCCACTGACAGGGGCATCAAGGGGTCACTGGGCGGGGGGACACCTCCTTAGGACAGGCCCATGAAGATGTATTCCCACAGGACCCTCCTCTGGGAAGTCCTCTGAGACTTCCCCGATGGGGGTGCTGGGCTGGGACCTTTGACGCTCACCTAAGGAACCCCAAAGTAGGCCCTCTAGGCCCAACCACGTGCTATGTGCTATCTGGCCTTGATCCCCAAGGGCCACCATTAAGGACGGCGCTCGTGCTCATGGGGCGTCACTCTCAGGGCCTCCCGTGCCAGCTGCTGGCTCTCAGCGGGCACGGCCACACCGCCACCATGGCTGCCCTCCGTGGGGCTCAGGGCATCAGCAGGCCTCTTCGAGAGGGTGCCCGAGGGCTTCAGGCGGGGGCCCAGCAGATGGCGACGCAGGAGAGTCCGTGAGAGGGGCGCGGGCCGTGCTGTCTCTGAGAAGGCACGGGCCTGCGAATGAGCACAGCACAAGGAGCCCGCGGCTGGGGCCACGTGGTGCTCACCCTTCTCGACACGGACGCCCCCGCGCGCTCCTTCAGCTGGGGGTCGGTGGGGAGGCTCCTCCAGATGATGTAGGGCGTGTCGTACTTGGCTCGCAGCCGCGGGCAGCGCTTGAAGATGAAATCGATGAGGAAGAACTTGATGCCTGCGTAGAGCCCTGCAAGGGGAGGGAGGGTCATCGGGCCCTCGCTCTGCGGCCCAAGAAGGGTCCATCCACTCTGACCATCGCTCAGGCCCTCTGCTCCAGCACCTGCCTCTGAGGGCACCCCAAACCCACAGGGCAGGCGGGGCTGGCACCGCCGAGGGACCCTAACCCCAGCCTGGGACGGGCGCGTGCCCTGGTGGGGTCGGCACTGGGCAAGGACCCAGGCAGGCTCAGATCAAAACAGAAACCATCTTAAAAACAAAGGCGACCATGGAACACCACAAGCTGCCACCCCTCAGGGCAGCACACAGAAGCCTCTTGGGGCCTGAGCCCGACCTGCCACTCTGGGCCACGCCCTTCTCTGGCCAGAGTGGACAGGTGGCCTGAAGGATGACGAGACCCACAGCATCTCACAGCCCTGTCACCCCAAAGCCACACTGTCCACCAGCCCTGGTTTCCTAGTGCAGACTGGAGGAAGAGCCCAAGGAGAGACCGAGGGCCAGTCAGGCACTGCGGCCAAGGGCGGATGACGCAGTGTCCTGACGGCCAGGGTCCTGGGCTACACAGCCCCACGCAGATCCAGCCCCCCGCCGCAGCCAGCCCCGGCACACCGCGGAAGGCACTGCACGGGCCCTAGGCAGCAGCCAGAGGACGACGATGACCCTGGGTTTATGGTGACCTCTCTGTGCCTTTGTAATCTCAGCAAGGCCACCCCAGGTCTGCACACAGCCCTCTTCCTCCTGCCCTCCCGAGGCCCCGGCTCCTGCCGTCCCTCCTTAGGGCTTGATATCTCACCCCCAGCCTCCCGATGCAACACCCTCCTCAGGCTCCTCCCAGCAGCCCCTCCTCCCTAGGCTTGCCCCACACCCCCTGCAGGTCACCCTGGGCTCCCTTCTGCCTGTCTCCCCTCCCTCCCAACTGCAGCCCAGTGCAGCCTGCTGGCCAGCGGCTCCCACACCTGAGAACCCACTCCCCGCCCAGGGTCTCATCCCAACCCAGCCCCGCTTTCCTGGAGGCTCACCAGCCCCCAAATCTGGAATCCTCCGCCTGTGTCCTGTGCACACAGACCTGTGGCCAGGCGAGGACACTCCACACACCTTGCCATCCCAGAACCAAATGACTGATGCCCTGCAAGCCCACGTTGTGGCCCTGGACCCGGGCACCATCACCTGCCCCACAGGTCAGGGAAAGCCCGCAGTGTGTCTCTCACTCTCTGCCTGCACGCAGCCTATTCATCGCTCATCCGTGGCACTGCCTTTGAAGGGGTTGCAGAGCCCCATGCCACCGCCCTGCTCTCTCCTGCCAAGACCCTGGCCACGCCTCCCAGGCCACACCCACTTCTTCAGATCAGCCCGCCCCACCATAGGCCACACCCTCTCCCACTTCAGGCCACACCCACGACTGCCTAGGCCCTGCCCACTTCTCCCAGGCCACACCCACTTCTCCAGATCAGCCCGCCCCTACCATAAACCACACCCTCTCCCATCTCAGGCTATACCCATTCCTGCTCTGGCTAGTCTGGGAGCCCGGAAGTTGATAAACAGCCTGAGTGGTGTGAAAGGAACATGAGCAGTGATGAGAAAGGAAGCAGCACAGAGCCGTGCTGGGCAGTAAGGACAGGTCCGCAGGACGAGCCCGCAGAGCTCTGGACAGGGCCGGCTGTTCCAGGCTACCGCTCCTGCAAAGGCCCAGTCTCGGGGTCTCCCAGCCAAGGAGTGGAGGAGGAGGGCAGGGCAGCACCTCGTGGGGGCCAGCGCGTCTCCCTGACCACCTTCTAAGCGTGCCGCAAGGCTCTGCTCGCCTTGGACGGTGTGGGCGACCAGGTCTGAGCCTGGTGCATGTGCGGGTTGCCTTTTCCCCTTTCTCTCCTCCCGTGGCTCCCACAGCACACCCCTGCGTGCCGGAGCCCGCAGCCCAGCCACCTCCCACTGAGCGCTGATCCGGTGGTGAGAGGAGAGGAGGGAAGCCCACTGTCCCTGACCACGAACCCAGCAAGGGAGGATTTAGGTGGACGTGACCCTTGACCTCACGCCCCTTCGCTAACTCCTCAGCTGCCACTGGGCTCAAGGCACCTGACACCAGGCACCCAGGTTTCCACAGCCGTGACCCCCACCTCCACCACAAGCTTGACGCCCGCTGCTTGCACACAGGCCAACCCCCTCCTACAGCAGGAAGCTGGGGGCCCTTCCCGGCAAAGGTCACGCTCGACCTAAGAAACCATCTTCAGGGATAGGTATGGTGACAAGAGCCTGCGTTCTGGGAGGCTGAGGCAGGAGGGTCATAGCAAGTCTCTGTGCTGCTTCCTGTCTCATCACTCTGTATGTTCCTTCCTGCCTGGGTGACCTGGCGACTTAGTGAGACTGTCTCCCAATGAAAAATAGGGAAAAGGGCTGGAGAGGTCGCTCAGTGTGAGGGTCCTGGGTTCAAGCCCCAATACGGAGGGAGAGAGGGAGGGAGGAAAGGCAGGGAAGACAGAAAGAGCGTCATCGGCTCTAGAATTTGGTGGGCCTCATTTCTCCCAAGTCCAGACGAGAGTTAAGGCCCGGCCTCACGCCGGGCAGCGGCGGATGTGCGGCAGGTGCTCTGCCCCGTCGCCCTGCCCCAGCCCTGCTGAGCCCGGGCGCCCCCTTACCCACGGTGAGCCCCACCAGGCGGTAGGGGAAGAAGCAGGAGGCCAGGAAGGCGGCCCACAGCGCGATGTACAGCTTCTGCGTGGTCTCAGGCTGCACCCACATGAACAGGCTGGAAGGGAGATGGGGGTCAGGCGGGGCCCAGCGCTTTCACGGGGGCGGGCTGGGGGACCACTCACTTCTTGATCTTTTCCAGGATGTCCGCCATCTTGCCAAAGAGGTTCTGCGTGAAGAAGAATGACCACAGACTTGCGTGCCTGTTGGCCACACCGGACACCCAGAGGGCCCTGGGGCTGGGCAGGCCAGGAACGCAAATCCTGTGGCCACCCGGCCCTGTCTGGTCTAAATCAAGGCGACCATGCTCACAGGCCTGCGTCCTCCCGGCCTGGCCAGCAGGGGGCGCCCCGCCACGCGGCCTCCTCCACAGAGTTGCTGGAAATACCCAGCTAAGCACCGGCAGCGGATGGTGCAGGAGCCTGGCCTGGGGCTGCGGTGTGCCGCCCTGTGCCCCAGGGCTGGCGGAGCCTGACGCAATACCTGGGCTTTCTGGGCGACATCCAGCACCAGCTGGAACTTCTCGGACACGGTCAGGTCTTCCTTTGGAGGTTCCTTCAGTCAAAGGGGAAAGAGAATTTTCCACTGAAATTTAACAGTTTAGAGAAATTACTGATACAACAGCAAGAAGGCTCCCAGCCCCAGGGACCTGGGGGTCACTCTGCTGTCCCTGCATAGCCAGAGGGGAAGGGACACTCTCTGGGGACCCCGGGGGGAGGGGACGTTGCTGGGCCGAGACACCCCAACCCTCTCCCACAGCTCCCTTCACCTCCTGTCCCCAGTCAGGCCCCGGCAGGCAGCGAAACTGCAGCCCAGCCGGCCCGCTTGTCTGAGCTCATGCATCTCCCCACTCGTTCAGTGAGACCCTCCTGAGGCCTCCGGGTCCCAGAGCTGGGCAGACACAGGCCTGCTCCCTGTGACCCCTCCTCAAGACAGGCCACGGAGGCACCCCGTCTCCCTCTAGCCACACCCAGTAGTTCGGCCCCACAGGTTGGAGCCTCCTCTAGAGCCAACTTCTGTAAGCATGTTTGGCTGGGACCATGTCGCCTCTGTCACGGCTTCTCCACTACACTGCAAAGGCAGCGTGTAAATGAGCAGGCATAGAGGAGTTTCAATAAAGCTTTACTGACAAACCAGGCTGTGCATGAGCAGGCATGGCTGAATGTCAATAAAGCTTTATTGACAAACCAGGCAGTGGGTCAGAGCTAGGCTCCAGAGTCTGATCCTTTGTGACGTCCCCACCCAGAATGGGCTCTGGAGGCTACAGCAGCTGAGAAAGGACAGGCAGGCAGGGCAGGCTGGACGGCCCCAGGGCTCAGGGCTGGGTGTCAGCCTGTTTCTGCATCTCCCCTCTGGGCAGGGTGCTCATCTGTTTGGAGGGCTGACCTGGTCAGGACAGATGAAGGGCCTTGGCCCCCCAGGACTCACCACGGCTTCGGACACTTCTGGCACAATGCTCCACTGTATCCGCCAGCCCCTGGCAAAGAGAAAGCACCACAACCTTTACCGCAGTGTTGCTTGTGAGTGGTTGAGTTCTGGGGACAACACGGCAGCACATCTAGCTGGGGCGTCTTCACCCTGTGGTCCAGCCGAACAGGAAAGAAGGGCTCCCAACCCCTGCCGAAGGCCTCAAGGCCATGCCAGTCACCCTCCTCTGTAGCAGCAGCCAGCTAGGGAAGCCACAACTTGGTGGGCAGAAGCAGTCATGGGTCCTCCCTCACCTCAGGGACTACTGGCTGCTTCAAGGGTACACATCAGGGCTGGGGATGTAGCATAGTGGTAGAGCACTCGCCTAGCATGTTTAGGGCCCTAGATTCAACCCTTCCTTCGGAGGTTCCTTCAGTCAACTGGGTTAGACACACCCCAGAGAGTGTCCCTTCCTCTCTGGCTATGCAGGGACAGCAGAGTGACCCCCAGGTCCCTGGGGCTGGGAGCCTTCTTGCTGTTGTATCAGTAATTTCTCTAAACTCTTAAATTTCAGATGGAAGCTGGTGCCATCTCAGAGCCTGAGGAGGTTTGGGATTCCCTGGGGCCTGAAAAGCATTTTTCACCCCAAATGCTGCAGGCTGGGCTCTGTCCCCCGCCCACCCACACCCCGGGGAACGTAACGAGGGAGGGATGGTCCATAGCGGGCACCGCAGCCGTCAGGGAAAGGGCCACCAGGGAGCCTGGGCCTCTGCCGCTGGCCGCCAAAACGCAGAGAGGGAAGCTGGTGCCATCTCAGAGCCTGAGGAGGACCCCACCCAGCCCTAGATGCCGGTGAGCGGCACGTTCTGTGTCACCCATGGCGGGACAACAACGCAACAGGGCCACACGACCCGGCCACCTACTTGGAGATGAGGTAATTGAGAGACAGCCTCAGAATTGCCAGAAACAGAAACATGGGAATGGCCCAGCCGTGCCACACAGCGTTCACGTACACCTGCGGGGAGGGGCACGTCAGGCAGCCCGGCCGGGCAGCTGTGTCCCTCCCAGTCCCCAACCGGCAGGCAGTGCTCAGCGGGGAGTTGGGTCCCTGAAGCAGTGCAGGGGCCGGGAGAGGGGCTGTCCTGGGGGTGGAGAGGGAGGCGCCTTCGGGGTGGTGGCACATGGAGGCTGCCACTGTCCCGAGCACGCAGCCACCGGACACAGGGCAGTGGGCCCATGTGGGGTCCCTGCTGCCCTGTGGCTCCCACACCCTGGACAACGACAGACCCAGAGCTGCGGGTGCAGAGGGTCAGAACCAAGGGGCTCGTGTCTTAGGGCAGTGAGGGGTGTGGACCCCGGCCAGGGGGCCTCACGGAGCAGAGCAGCTGCCAAGGCCCCCACCCGCAGCTTCCCCAGTGAGTGTGCACAGTGCCACCTCCCAGGTGGGCACCGAGGCCTGCGACAGCCACCAGGCCCCTCCAGACATGGCCCACTGCGCTGGGCAGAGCCACCTCCAGGCTCCCGCTGACGCCAGCCCAATGTCCCCTTTCCCTTCCCCAGATGGGCGGCTCACAGAGGCCAGGCTGGGTCCCGCACACCATCATGTGCCCGTGGGGCTCTCGGGGCCCTACGGCCTCAGGTCCCAGAGGACAGATGCTGCGCAGCTGCCCACCTGGGGCTCCGGCGAACCAAAGGCAAGCACGCCAGCAGGCTGAGGTCACTGCCGGGGCCACACAGGGACACGGGACCACATCCCACCCGGGGGTCCAGGGCCACACTCGCCTCTGTTCTGAGCCTGCGACTTCCGTGCACTCTCTGACAGAAGACAGGGTCCCTAGGTCCTGCCCCCTGGGGGCTGCCCCACCTGGACGAGAGCAGTGAGGGGTGGCACAGTCCCCCCGCCCCGAGGAGCCACTCACCGTGAAGGCGATGGCGGAGGTGTAGACGGAGTACCAGTCGGATAAGGCGGAAAGGTTCCTCACGAAGTTAGTGACAGGCTTGGCCCCGCGCTCTGGGAACAGAGCAGACTGCAGTGGCCGGCACAGCACCCAGAGCGGCCCCGCGGGGAGAAGCGCCTCCCCCACACCCAGGCCCACAGCGGGCAGGGAAAAGGGCAAAAGGGCAAAGATGGGGAGAGGCGTGTTGGGATTCCCTGGGGCCTGAAAAGCATTTTTCACCCCAAATGCTGCAGGCTGGGCTCTGTCCCCCGCCCACCCACACCACGCCAGGGGCTGCGCTTACTCAGCCGCCTCATGTTCTCCGTTAACCTGAGAGAGAGCAGAGACGGGCAGTGTTAGCTCACCCACAGCCCTGGCCCACGCCCCACTGCCACACACAAAACGGGAGGACGCTGGGTGCCCGGGACTCCCGGACACCTGGACTGTCATACATGGGGACGGCACTGTAGCAGGAGTGGTGCCGCTGCTGCTCCCTAAGATAGGAAGGCGGGCACATCCGACACAGGATGCCAGCCCAGGCGTGTGAACCACTAAGTCAGCCTGGTATGGGACGGCCCTGGGCAGCGCTCCTGTGCCCAGCACAGGTGACCCCCATCACAAACCACAAGGCTAGCATGGGCAGGGTGCGGCTCCAAGGTCCCTGCCCCACGCACCCCCCAGGAGAGCAGGCTGGGGCATCCAGGGGCCAGTGGCAGCTATGCATTCAGCACAACTGCCCACGTGACTCCGACGCGGGGACCAGACTCTGACGCTGAGCCGGCCCTCCGCCACTGTGCCCCAGGCTGGCGCCCTACCTGCGGGCACTGAGGGGCTCCTCGGTCTCCACCGTGTTCTCCTCGGGCTGAAAGCGGAAATCCTCCAGGTACTCCCCGAATCTGTCGTAGAACCACTTCTGTACGCGGGAGCACAGCCCCTGGCCGCGGCGGTCTGCAGGGAGGGCAGAGGTGGTAGGGAGTCCGCCTGGCTCGTTGTTCTGGGGTCTCGGGATCTGAGGTGGGGGGGTCTCACAGCAAGGCCTGAGCCCTGCCAGCCTCTGCACCATGGTGCCCACTGCAGGCTTCTCAGAAAGCAGGCTGGGGCGGGCTGCAGGGGGCGCTGAGCCACCGTAATTCAAGGGGGTGGGAAGGTGGGCAGGTGGTCACCAGACACCCATGTGATGTCAACAGGCACAAATATTGTGTGTCAATTAAAAATTAAACAGCACCCATCCAGGTGTGCTGCGGGCTCAGGGCAGGTGGGCAATGGGCAGTGGAGACCCCAGGAGCCTGGGGCTTGGGGCACAAGTGAAGGCGTACGAAGGACTGGGGGTCAGGGGTTCCCAGGGGACTGCCGACGGACCCTGGACTCTCAGAGCCATCAGGCTCACCTGCCAACCCCCCCATCTGAAAGTGTGAGCAGCATTTTAAAAATGTAAAGCCAGATGGGGGTGGTTTGCTAACCCCAGGCCCAGGACTGTGGCTCACTCCAACAGCGTGGGGTTGAGCCCCCTCATCCTCCCAACCAGGACCCTGAGGCTCTTTCTGCTGGGCCCTGCAGGGCCAATTCCCACGGAAAATGCAAAGCCCAGGTAGGTCTATCCCCAGCTTGGGGTCCCACCTGGCTCCCATGGGGCGGACACTGTGGTCCCTGAAGGCTGCCCCAGGAGGGGCACCTCTTCCCTCCCCACCCCCGCCACAGATGGAGCCAGCCCGACACTCAGAACGGACCTCAGCCCGGGACAGACAAGGGGACCCCAGGGACATGCCTGTCCACCCCAGCTTCGCCCTCACTGTCACCCAGCATCAGGGGCCTTGGAGGTCTCCCGCTGCTCAGTTTGGTGGCTGAGGTGACAGGCCAAGGACTTCACACCTAAGCCTGGGCCACTGGCTGTGGGGCGCAGGGGACTCAGGGGCCCAATCTGCCCAGATCTGGCCTGCAGAGGTGCGTCCTGAGCTGTCCCTGAGGACGGGGTGCACCTTTCTCTCCAGAATGGCCACCAGGACTGGGAGGACCCCTCGGACAGGCCTCCCTCCTAGGCCTTCTCTGTGGCCCCCAGGACTGAAAGGACCTCAGACCTGGTCCCACCCTGCTCAGCGGCACAAGCAAGCGGGGCCTGGGGAAGGGTCGGTATGCGGGGAGGGGCGCCGGACACTCCATCTCCTGACGGACGGCTGCCGAGGGTTGCGGGGTAAGGGTGCAGCGCAGGGCAGGATGGGAGAAGGGGAGAGAAAAGTGCTCTGTCCTCTCCCTGGGGTCTAGGGACCAGTCCCCACTGCCGGCGCCTTCCCCTCACAGGGACGACGTGCCCGGAGAGCCGGGCCTGCGCAGAGCGACTGAGACAGCGCCTGCACTCCGTGCGGGGTGGGCCCCGCCTGGCCACCGATGCCGGTTCACTGTGATGACGCCAGCTTCAGGGACAGATGCTAACCCAGTTCTGGAGGGAGGAGGCTCCCAGACGCATGAGGGACCCCAGACAGACGCAGAGCCCACTGCCCCCACGGGCCTACCTGCTCCATTGCTGGCTTGGCTCTGCCCTCTCGGCGGCGGCTGGGCCTGCGCCGTCTGCTCCTCGACTCTTAAAAAGAGGGGAGAAGAGGCAAGGTGTCTGTCGGTGCAGACTGTGCCACGCTCCGGCGCCTGCAGGAACCAAGTGCAGGATCATGGGAGATCCACCGCTCAGGAGTCCGGAAGGCACCAAGGCTGGACACGTGGGCACGACAGTGGCCAGGTGACACGGAGCCACACTCCCCGCCAGCACAGGTTGTTTCTCAGCAATCAGTCAACAGTGCCACACAAACTCGGGACGTTTTTCTTTCCTGCTGATTTCAACACAGCTGCTGCTTCATCACTGGGCTCAAATGAGCAGCTCTGCCAACGAAAAGATACGGCACTCCAACACAAGGGGGCTGATCAGAAATGGGGCGTGTGTGCACAAGGCGGGGTCGACACTACGGTGAATGCTGCTGCTCAGCACCACTCAGCGGAAAATCAGGCCCGAAAGAACAGAGCGCGGTGCCCTCGTCCCCCTCATTCACCGGACCTGGCCCCACTGACTTCCGGCTCTTCTACAAAGTCAAGATGACCACGAAAGGGAAACGCTTTGATTGGATTCAGGACATCGAGGCAGCCAGGACAGTGCAACCAAAGACACTGGGGAAAGAGGACTCCAGGGCTGCTGCAGAAAGTGTGTGCAAAGCGAGGGGGAAGATCTTCAGGGGGATTCATGGCCATGTGTCTTTCACTGTCACACATATTTAAAAATGCAAACGCTAACTGTATTTCGCGATCACACCCCATACACCTGTCTATCAAGTACCACACGAAGAAGCCCTGCGTCCCCACTGGGCCTGGCTTCCTGTCCCAAGTGCACTGCAGCCTGATCACAGCTGTCGCAGGCTTGCAGCCTGCCGGGCTCTCCCTCTTTCCAGGGTCCCTGTCCCCTGCAGGATCCTGACCATCACCCCCATTCAGCCGCAAGGCCCCGGGCGGTAGAGCTCTGGGTGGCCCAGCCCTGTCCTTGGTGGTGTCTGTGCAGGTTCTCTGCAGTTGCACCCTCCTGCACAGCCTTCATCTACACAGCCCTCTCCCCTCCCCCTCCTGCAGCCAAGAGCTCCGGGTCCCCGGGACCCAAACGATAGGGAGCTCTCTGCTCTGGCCACATCACACAATCACACACCCACAGTGTGAGGAACAACTTGGGGCTTGGGACTGCCTCTGTGACCTGTAAATGCCACGCTGGCAACAGCAGGGGGCAGGAAGATGACCTGGACTCCTGTCAGGCGGCTGGCAGGGCTGGGCCTGGGCGGGCTGCAGCCTCACAGAGCTGTGAGTGGAGAAGACACGGGGGTGGGGAGCGCTGAGCAAGAGCCCCCGTCATGGAACGGGCCAGACTGGGCCCATGTCCATGTCCCCAGGACCAGACCGGGGCTGTGTGCGACCATCCATGCCTGCAGCAACCAACCAAAGGGGACTCACTGGGGAACAGGAGCTAAGGCCCAGGGCGCACAGGAGGCCCCAGGCCCTGGCTGTGTCTCCCTTGCGCCTGGGCAGGTGGACCTCGATGCATCCTGAGAAGCCTGAGGGCTCTGGCAGGAGCAATTGCACCAGGGGCACTTGTAGGCCAGCTCCTGCCGCACATGACCTCAGCCCTAATGACCTCACCCCGAATAACAGTGCAGGGTCACCGGCCAGGCGACTGTCCCCAGCACACGCACCTGCTGGAGACCAATGGGCGCTTGGCTGGTAATGAGCGCCGTCTTAGGGGAAGAACTGGGAGCCCAGGGGCAGGCGTCCAGGGCAGGGACTACTTCTTCACGCTAGTACCGAACACAGCAAGGGGCTGCCCCCACCACAGGCCACAGCAGGAGCTGGCTCGGATGGTTCGAGGGCAGCACAAGGCCAGACTGAAGGGAGGAGCAGGGCAGGGACATGTGGGACGTGCTCGCCCCGTGCAGCTCCCCACAGGCCCAGAGCCACATCAACCCCGTGTCACTCCCTCGGATCAGAGAAAGGACTGTGCCCTTCTGACTAAGGAGTCTTCAGACAGTCACAAGTGACCCGCCCTGCACGCGACTGGCTCTCTGGGTAAGGCCTGAAGTCTCCTGATCCAGGGTCCAGGGTCCAGGCCACAGCCAGGTCACAGCACGACGCGGGCCTGGGGTCACCCCTTCAGAGGTCATCCGCCCCGACGGTCACCAGGGCCACCCAGCTCTGCCTTCTTCCCGCACACGGCCCTCCCACATAATGCCCTGTGTGCCCTCTGGTGCCAGCCGTCCTAGCTGCGGGCACAGGGAGGAGAGAACCCCAAGAAGGCTCAGGGCAGATGGCAGGTATGGCCGGGGCACAGCCTGGCTGGAAGCAAAAGGACGACGTTGTCAGGTGGCTTTCTGCCCGTGGCTGCAGGAACCTTTGTCTACTGATCAGCGGCCCCAGGGCGAGGGGTCCTCCGGGGCTTTACTGAAAAACCAGAGTGGTTCCCGTGACTTAATTACCGTGCGTGGGGGCCACGCGTGGGGGCCATGCGTGCACCTGTGTGTGTGTCTGTGTGCGCACATGTGTTCACAGGTGCTCACGCACCGTGTGTACACCTGTGGTGACTGTAGACGTGTGCATGTCTGAGTGTGTGTGTGGGTCCCTGATGGCCCACTGACACCCAGACCAGCACCCTGATGAGGAAGGAGGGGGTGGCTCCTCCCTGCCCCTCCCCTCCCAGGGACCCCAATCCTGCCCCGTGGGAGCAAGGCAGCGTCCCTAGAGCTCCCAGGTCCCTCTGCCTCTACTTCCTGGGTCACACCCGAGCTGTTCGTTTCCTGTCCACCCCAGCTGGTCCCTCTGTATCCTCAAAACTGACTCAGGGCCAGGCACTGCCCCCGTGGAGGGGGCCTGGAGAAAGATGATGACTCCGGGGGACTGGGGGGCAGGAGGATTGTGAGGGAGTCTGTGGCTCTGCTGAGGAGGGAGCCAGGACACGGGCAGCGCCAGCACCACCAGAGGGCGCTCGGCGTCCAGACGAGCACAACTGCCTCCCCGGGGAACGTTGTCGTGGGGTGAGACCTTGCCCTGACACCTGGGCAGGCAAGAGCCGGTCCATCCCCAGGCCCTCCCGGCGCAGGTCAGGTCTCTGCCGCACCATGTCTGATGCATAATTGAAAGTAACCGAACCCTAACGTCACCCAGATTCACAGAGGTCAGCACTAGGAGGCGCTGTGTGGTGAGTTGTGTGATGCACGTACGTGCGTACGTGTGTGTGCGTGTGTGCACGCGTGCATGCATGCGTGCGGTCTGGAGAGGGGCCAGCTGCCCAGCCAGGGCAGAGGGGGCTGACACGTCACTGCTCCCATGCAGGGCATGTGGCCTTGTGGGAGGCTCCTGGGGACGGGAAAGGGGACACAGCGCAGCTGAAGGCACAGCCTTGCCCAGCACGGTCCTCAGGTGGTGACCGGCAGGCCCAGGAGTGGGTGTCCAGCACCAGACACGCAGGGGCCTCCACCCAGATGGACGTGGGCCTGGCCAGGGCCCCAGGGTGGTACCCAGTGCCCCAAACTGGGATCTGCTCCCTCCGGCTGAGGAGAGGTGGGTGGTGGTGTGAGGATGGAGCCAGGGAGGTTGAGGCAGGAAGGCTGGGGACACAGGTGAGAGCCAGGCTGTGCTGAGAGGGACGGGAGCCAGGTCAGAGCGCGCTGCCGTGTAACCTGGGACACAGCTCTGAAGTGACCTGCTTCCTGCTGCTGTCCCCAGAGGCCGAGCCGGCTCAGCAGGTGGTACAGGGTGGGGGAGGGGAGCCATGCTGCCCCAGGCAGCTCAGCCCCACAGGAGAAGGACGGACAGCACCTGGGAACGCCCCCTGCAGACACGGGGTGGCACTGTCACCCCAGGCAGAGGGTCTTGCTGGGAGGAGGGTGTGACAGCAGGTGGGCTCACAGTGGGGTCTGGGGCCACAGGGGCAGGGAGGCCGGGGTGGGTAGCCAGCCTAGGGGGCTGGGAGGGGTAGGAAGGGGGCAGAACACGGGCAAGGTGGGGGTCCGTTGGCCTCAAGGGACCCCCAGCACCCCACAGGACGGGGCATGAGGTGGTTCTGGGGTCCCTCAGTCTCAGCCCCGCCCATCTGTGCCCAGGGCCGAGGTGCAGGATGGGAACCTCATGCTAGACTCACCCCTCCTAGACGACCACTTCCAAGGCCAAGACATGCATAGGCTCAGGCAGGACTTCAGCCAGGGAGCCTCACCCGGGAGCCCTCCGGGCCCAGGCTGATGTTCCCAGGACGCCTGGTCCCAGCGCGAAGACAGAGCCGCACTCATGGAGCCAGGCCCACTGTGGGGGCCCAAGCAGGACTGGGCTCCGGCCTCCCAGCCCCAGGCTACGCCTATGATGTGGCTCGTTCCGCAAGGGACCACGCACTGCATGCCAGTCCTTCCTGAGGTCTGGCAGGGATGAGGGGCTATGGTAGGGAGGGTCTGGTGGGAGGTCGCAGGTCACCAGGGGCGGGATTAACCCGACGCTGTGGACCCTGGCTGGTTCCCTGGAGACGGCTGCAACAGGACAGGCCCGGCCACTCCTGGCCTTGCCAGTCTTGCATCTTGAGATGAGACCTCGCCCTCCCACACTGCTCCCTCCCACACATGTGCCCACACTGTGCCATCTTCTGCGAGGCCCTCGCCAGGCCTGTGCACCCTCAGAACCGTGAGCTGGACAAACCAGCTTTGGGGACTGCTCGACGGAGACTGCAAACAGCGGACGTGCATTACCTGGCCTTCAGCACCTCCTGCATCTTCTGCTCCAGCTCCATCCGCCGCTGCCGCTCCCGGTCCAGCTCCTGCCTCAGCATCTCCGAGTTGGTCTCCTCCCGTAGCTTCCGGAGCTCCTCCTCTGCGGGAGACACAGAGGTGACGCTCGTGCTGCCCCCTCCAACTCCGAAACCGAGCGAGGTCCCACTCCGTGCCCCGCGTATGTTGTCCCCATCTGCCCCAGCTGGGTGGCGGCAGCCCCTCAGGCCCCTCCTCTGGGGTACACACTGCAGAAGGAACTGCTAACTGGGGCTCCCCTTCCACAGCTGGGACAAAATCCGGGGGAAAGCAAGGACGAGGATCTCTTTACTGTGCTCCACAGGGGCGCAAAGCTGAAAGCGAGCATTTTATCCAGACACCAGGTCCACGGGACACCTAGGCAGGACACCCACAGAGTCAGCGCCTCCCGGAAGGCTGGCTCTGGGGTGCTGCAGCGGATGGAGGCTGCATCTGGCGGGCTCGAGGCACCCCGTTGGGGAGGAGCCTGAGAACGACCCAGGGCCCGTGGCTGGGGTGCCCCTGGAAGGTCTCCCCGGGAAGGAGAGACAGGATCAAGCCCTGGAGGAAGTGAGGAGTGGTGGGTAAGACAGCTGAATGGAAGGCAGGAGTCCTGGGTCTGCACGGCAGGGGGACAAGAACACGCCACAACCCAACACACATCAGGAAAACACAGGAGCAGAGCTCGCTGGCTCCCACCCCGCAGCAGGAATCACCCTGACTCGGTCAGGGCAGGCCATGCGCAAGCCCAGGCATCACACTGCTCACCCCAGGCATCACACTGCTCACCTGTGTAGGCACCATGACACGCTGACAAGATAACACACTAATACAGGGCATGAGTATGTGTTCATGAAATACTATGGACCGTCAAGTCACCTTCATTAAATACACTGCAAATGCATGTTAATAAATCACAAAGCATGAGTCCATGTGAATAAAACACAACAGGCTATCTGGGCCGAGGAAGTCGGGGTCTGGAATCAGCCTGGAGGGCAGGTGGGGGCCACCAGGAGCCCCAGCAATGGAAACATGCTTCCTGGGAGAGGAAATGCAGGCATGTGGCCTCACGGTGACGCAGAGCCTGTCCCCTCTGCAGCCAGCGGCCAGGGCCAGCACACCTGCCGACCTCTCTCTGCTCTCACGGACTTCCCCACCCTGAGTGGGGAATGGGGCAGCGCTCCTCCCCCCGCAATGGCTGTGTGCGTTCAGGCTGGGGGCTGCCCGGGCTCAGTCGCAACCTCGCCTTGGGGACGGAAGCCCCTGCCCTCGGGAGCCCCTATGGGAACCCGGACAGACCATGTGGGTCCTCTAGCGGGGTGGGCTGGGGTGCGGGCGGCGGGGCCTCCGGAGGGAGAGTGGGTGCCACTGGGGTCAGAAGGGTGGGTGGCTGCTGTCCTCAGGGCCTGGAGAGCTCCCACAGATAGGGGAGGGACAGCAGCACGGGAGAAGCAAGCGCTACAGGCCGGTGAGGTGGCTGGGGGCCTCCATCCAGGTCACCTCTGCCCCTCACGCCACAGCTGAACGCACCCATCCTGCGTTTTCCCTCTCTGCTGCCCAGGACTCACAGGCACTGCTCACAAAGCCTGTGGACACTGCCCGCCCCCTGCCCCGCCAGACCACGTCACGGTGCAGTGAACGGCCAGAGGTTGCTGGGGAGAGGGCCTGGCAAGGCACCGGTCACCCAGCCGCAGCCTGGAGCAGTGCCCAGCCTGGGGCCTGGCACACAGCTGCCAGATGGGAGGGAGGGAAGGATGGACTGACAGATGGATGGACGCATGGGTGGGAAGTAAACACCCTCGCACCTCTGCTTCTCCTCTCTGTGGCCGGCAGACGGGAGAGAAGCGAGGGTCCGGGCAACTCCGGGCACAGGGCACCCAGGGCGGGGCCCAGCAGCCCGAAACGGGTGGCTCGGCCCAGCTCTGCCATCCTCTGATGGAAAGGGAGGTTGTGCCGGTGGCAGGACCCACACAAAAGCCGCTCTTAGGCAGCAGCTCCTTAAAGTGACAGCCTCAGAGACGAATGCCCAGAGCTGCCCAAGAGGTGCCCCGAGGCCCAGGACAGCCCCCACGGCCGCAGGCCAGCTTTTGCCCCAGGGTGCAGGGGTCTGGCCTGGGGCAGGTTCCACTGCAGGAGGGCCAAGCCCACAGCCTCTGGGGGGCAGGGGCCTGTGGGGTCGGGGACTGGCTCAGGGATCTCATCTCCCACACCACACGCTGCGGGGTGCCACCGAGCGTGCCGAGGGGCTTGCTGCAGGGCACAGTGCTGCCGGAGGAGCAGCCTGAAGGACAGGTCACTCCTCACAGTGGGGGGAGGGCTCCGCCACCCCTCAGCCCGGGGTCCAGACTTCCCCGTGTGACTCTGTCCCCTCCGGGTCTGGGGACACCGGCTGACACCCGCCCCGCGCAGGGCGCGTTGGTGGCGTTGGAAACGGAGATGCGGAACGACGCTGGCATCGGAACAAATCGCTTCTCAGCTCCACGCAGCATCCTTGTCCTCCTCTCAGGACGGAAATAACCCAGGGGTCTGCTCATTGCCCAGAGTTTCGGGGAAGCCGAGGTGCTGCACCCACTGAGGGGACAGCGGGCCACTGCGGCGACAGCAGGCAGAGGATCGGCCCGTAAGCCGAGGATACGGCAGGTGTGGACGCGGGGGCCCCGCTCTCCCACTCACTTCAGGTCCTGCCCGGGCCAGGTCAGCCTGACAACACTGCCTGGCTGCTCTCTGGAGAGAAATGGGGTCCCTCCAGCCACCCCCACTCTGGCCAGGCTGCCACACGGCTCCTCAAACCTCAGTGCCTCAGACAGGCTGGCCACCCAGTGCACAGGGCACCCAGCGTGGGGAGCACAGGCCCAGGGACCTGCTGGGAGGCCGCGGGGCACTTAATTCTGTCCACTGTGCCCTGGGCAGCAAGTGAGAGCCACGCGCTGGGTGGATAGAAGCTCGTGTGGCCAAACCAGCAGCCTTGCAGGAACCTACAGAACCCTGCCAGCCCTGACCTCCGAGTGCCTGCCAGAGCTAGATCTGATCCAGGCGGGGTGATGGTCAGGGGCTGTGGCACACAGGAAGGGCTCATTTCCACCGGGCTGCCTGGCAGTTGTACCTTCTATGTGTGGCCCTCAGGCCCCTGGGCAGCCCCAGGCCACAACTGTGACACAATCTGACCGAGCCGGTGGGAACAGTGCTTAGCCCTGCAGCCTGCACACTCTGTTCTTTCCACCTGGGGCCCTGGAAGCTGCTGGAATGGGTCCAATGCCAGCCCAGATGCCCACGGAGGTACAGCTCTCCAAGCACCTTCCTGTTCCTGCAGCCCCAGGGCCACCCTGACCCAGCCACATGGGAAGGGTCACCCCCTCGACAGGCCTGCAAAGGAGCCCCAGGTGGCCTCGTGTGCCTGGCACGTCCTGGACACCTGTGACAAAGAAGGGACAGGAGCAAAGGCCGGCCTTCCGGAGGGAGAGCCAGGCGCTGAGTGAGTCCCAGGTGCCCAGGCTGAGCGGGTGCAGATGCAGGGAGGCCCCGGGAGGGAGAAGCCATCGGGAGGGAGTCCTTCAGGTGAGCAGGCCACCTGTCCCCGAGACGGCTGTATCCCAGGAGCACCATGAGCCACTGAGGGGCTCTGGAGCTCGGCCACACCCCACACCCGCCCAGAACCTTCGCTCCAAGACCAGCTCCAAAGAGCAGCCATTCACGTCACAGTGGTCAGCCTGCCTGTCTCACGGGGAGCCACTCCTGAGTCCCTGGGCCACACGGGCCACCTTCCACCAGGTCTCAACGAATGCTCATGACGGGAGGCCTCAGTAAGGAGCTGGGTGGTGTGGAGAGCAGGACAAAGCAGGACTCCAGACACATGGCCACTTCCAGGGTCACAGAAAAGATGCAGGTCTCTGTGTGCACATCGTCCCCGAGGCTGGCACCGACAGCCTTGGCTCAGGCTTGGCGAATGCGCTGGCCTGTCATGGTGTGGTGAGACTGGGCGGGGTGGCAGGCGCATCTGCGTCAGGGAAGTATGGCTTCCGGCTCCTGATGCCAGGAGAGGTCGAAGGGCCTTCGCTGGTGCACGCAGGTGGGGAGGAAGCTTCTGGGTGGCCTTGACCGTCAGATGGGGCAGGATCAGGGAGGTGCTGTCCAGAGCGCAGCCACTGGACAGAGCGCTGTGTGGTCTGACAGCACTGGCAGGAACACAGCCGTCCCCACGCAGCCACGGAAGGGTGAGTGTGTCCCACGCGGCACGTGCGATGCCTGGGATGATCGCCTTCCTGGTGAGCAGGGCTGCGGTCCAACAGGCTCACGCAGGTGACAGCCGTGGTCCCGGTGGTCAGCTGCCCTTGGTTCTGACTGCTGATCTCTTGTCTCAGGGTGACAAACGAACCCTTTCTGAACAGAAATTCCTAAGCCACACTTGCTTCTGTCCTGCCAGCCGTTCTGTGGCCACAGCAGCAGCCAGGTGAACTCACTAGGGCTGCAGGAGAGCCAGTGACAGACCCGGGGGCAGCACTCACGGCCCACAGGCAAGGGAAGACCCCGCCAGCCTCGAACCTTCTTCCTGGATAGATGGGGAGGTGTTCAGGGAACCCAGAGGCTCCCTTTCCTGTCCCTGTCCTCTGGCCGCCACTTCACAGACCTGGGGACACAGGCTCAAGCCCAAGATCTTGGTACAACTTCTGGACACGGGGAGCAGCTGCGTCCCATGGCCTGGGCCCTCATCCAGGCAAAACACACGTGGGTGGACCGGGGGAGGACCGAGGTCGGCGCAGGCTCTGATAATATTTAGGCTTGCTGAGTGCCGGTATCTGCTGGCTTGGCAGATATTTGGAGGCCCGGATCAGGGCACAAGATGGCAGAAAGAGGAGCTGACACTCTCCTGTCTGTTGCTCCACACCCCAGCACCTACACACAGCCAGCACCTCCCTGATCCTGCCCCATCTGAAGGTCAAGGCCACCCAGAAGCTTCCTCCCCACCTGCGTGCACCAGCGAAGGCCCTTCGACCTCTCCTGGCATCAGGAGCCGGAAGCCATACTTCCCTGACGCAGATGCGCCTGCCACCCCGCCCAGTCTCACCACACCATGACAGGCCAGCGCAT